TACATACTGTATATTAGACACGCTGATATCTCCAAACACATTTAAGAGTATCATAAAAAAGTAAGATTTTTAGTTAAGCAGCTGAATGTTTGCAGCACTTGGGAGACAAATTTCCCCAAAAGGGACAATTAAGTGTATCGTATATTTAAAAGTCACATATTATGCAAAGTACACTTCACCATATTTTTCAAACACTAATATGTGTCTCTTGTCCGTCTAAAACCCCCCAATGAAGAGAAAAGTCCATCCTCTCCATCTTTTCACTGCTCCACTTTTCAGAAAATGTGTGCTCAAACAGGCCGTTTGGAGATTTTCCCTTCATGACATCACAAAGGGCAGTAACCCCTCCCCCAGGTGGGTGACACTCCCACAGCTAGGTGTTTGTTCTGCCCTCTGAGTCTGCCTTCTCACCGTAAACAATAGGACATGGAGAGAGAAAGCCAGAGACACCCGAGCCCTTCCAGAGAGGGGGCGTGGCCAGACACAGCTCATTTACATATTTAAAGGTACAGACACAGAAACAGCCTGTTCTGAGCAGGGCTGAAATAGAGGGGTTTATAGGCATGATCAAATACAGGATCAGAGTGGATTTAGAACAAGAAACTTCACACACATGTTTTGAGGAGCTCTGAGACTTATTTACACTGATGAAAATGAGAAGAATATGTCACCTTTAAATATTAAGTTACTTTTTATAAAATCCGACTGCTTAAAGGTTTCAACGTAATCCTCATGGGGCAAATTGTTCTGATCGATGTTTGTAAGCAAAACATATATTGTTCAGGCTCAGATTGTTCTTGAAACATTACAGAAAGGATCTCAATATCTTTGCTTTATTTTGAACGGGTTACAGCTCGTACGTCGCTCTCTTCAAACTCACCGGACTCCCGTCAGCTGTAATTTGACCTTGCAGAACATGCAAGCTTAAGGTCTTTAGCAGCCGGTATCTTTTATTTATTTTGTGTTATTGTGTTTAACTCTGACTAAATATTTGAGACACCAAAGTCAAACATTTACACAAGCTCACTGGTTGGAGCAGCGGTACATCAACAAGTTAAGTTAGTGTTTTTAATAAGAGGAATTTGATTGCTCTAAACTAAACAGTCATTAACCAGTTGATAGTGGTTTAGAAAAAGATTATTACCTGAACAAAAAGATCTATAAAATATCCATCCATCTAAATTCAAGCCAGGTTTAAATTTCTCTTCCACACACAGAGACACAGAAGCAGCTGCTCTTCAGTACATACAGGATTCTTTATTGAATGAAGCAAAGTAATGAAGAGAATTACAATCCCCTATTATGAAAATAAATAAATCATTTTCTTTGTCTCACAGAAGCCCAGAATGCCACCTGCAGCCGATTTATTTTCAAATCTTCTGTTGTCGTTTTGTTTTTACTATTTTTTTCAAACCAGGAGATTTTGTTTCCTGCTGACAGAGTTCATTCAGCTGCGAGTCAAATAATAAAAACATGAGACGCTCCGATCCATTTTGGCACGGGGTAAATGCTCCAGAGAGAGAGAGAGAGAGAGAGAGAGAGTAAGGGAGAAGAGAAGAAGAGAGGCAGAAGCCGGGGGGTTAAATTATAATCAGCAGTGCATTCGGTTCATGTAGGGACGCCTGATAGCGCAAAACGCGGCCATTTTTACTCCCAAAATATCCCTTCGAAACAAAGATAAACAACAAAATCTCAGTGTGCTAGTTAAGCGTTGCCGTGGTGACTAATTACAGACTTTACCTTAACGAGCTTACACACCTGCTGAAAGGCAGAAAACCCTCCACCTGCTGTACTGAATCCAATACTCCAGTTATGACACCAACTTTTCCCACAGCTAGCCCGCCTCCCATTCGCTTTTCACGGGGAGTGCTAACGATGCTAATGAGCCGTTTATTAAAAAATGAAAACAAAAGATCTCCCGCAACGTTTCAGGTGAAGATGATGATTATCGAGTAATGATCCTGCGTGTGTGAGTGTAGACTGAACTGCTGACCTGCTGATACGTAGATGTGTGTGTGGACGGAGGAATGTGTGTGTGTTTCCAACCTTAAGTATCAGGCTCCGCTCCATCAATGGATTGAAACTATTCTTTAGCAACATCGCCTCAGACGTCACCTCTAATGTCTCTGCTGTTTCTGAATCGTTGCCTCATTTTCACCACAGACTGAGTCGCGTCTGCAGCACAGAGCTTTTAAAAAACTGTTACCTACTGAAATCTAGAATTCATGAATCAGACCAATCTTCAATAAAAATGTCGCTGATTATAGTCAGAGTAAATTCAGGGGATTTTCTTGTCTAGCTGCAGTTGTTTTTCAAACCTGAAACCTCAAAAAACACAACATCATCTAAATCTGGCCAATTTTTTTTTATCAGCAATTAAGTCCAAAAGCAGCTGAAAGAGCTCGAGTCTTCACGCTTTAAATACACACATTTCTCTATTGATACGATGACAGTGATTTCCAGAACAACAAGAGTACTCTCACATATCGGATTTGATGATTTATTTTCAATTAACCGTCTATTCTTTCACAGCGACACTCAGACGCTGATGAACATTGAAAAACCTCAAGAGAAAACTCGATGCTCGAAAAGTTGCTGCAGTGGAGTTGAGCCTGACGCTGAGCTACCGAGACAAACCGCACTGATGCTAAACTCAAGAGTATTTTTGTAGTTCAATAGTACACAGTGAATTTTAACTTCAAACATCAGTATGCACTTATAGTACATGGTACTTCTGCGTTAACTGTATGTGTCCAAACGTCAGCCTGACCACATACTATCACAAGGCCTAAAGTACATGAACAGCCGATCACAAACAAACGTTTCCCCAACATCATCACGCACAAGAGGGCGCGTTTAATGATGCAGGGAGGCGGATTAGTTTCTGCAGAAACAGAATAAACTTCATTTCTGAATCTGACTGCTGGTAAAAGAAGATCTGAACATGTTTTCTGCGTGTTCTCTGACGTTTGGTTCATTCATCTGGTGAAATGAAAATGAGGAAACTGTCAATATTTTAATCAGACAGACCTCTTCAGTTTGAACCTTCACATTTGACAGAATTCATCGAGTGCACAGAGAACTGCACTTAAGAGAAACAACAGAAGAACGTTTGCATCTGCTGTTTATAAGGCAGAAAATGTTGTTTTGTCAGAAAATCTTATTTTTTCTAGTTTAAAATCTGCTGAAATAAAAGCAGATTTATAAATAACCTGATTGGAATACATTAAATAAAAGCAGACTTGTTGATAATCTGTTTGTAGTTTGGATGCACTGTGTACTAAAGAGGCTGACGTCTCTGTGGAGTATTAGCAGATTGTGCAGTTTAATATCATGTAATGTTTGCAAACTCTACGATGAGATATAATGTTTGTTTTTGTGCGCGTGTCACAACTGAATCCGGTAGAGTTGGGAGAGGGGGGTCAAAGGTCAGACAGGTGAGAGTTTGATCCAGATGTTGCAGGTCAGGGGTCAGAAGTCGCGGCTTTACTCCTGATCTTTGAACGCGTCGAGGCCGAAGGCGTTGTCCAGGAAACGTCGCAGCTCCATCAGGTGAGTGTTTTTGTTTCCTGTAGCCGGAGCTGCTGCCGGCCCCCTGCCAGCGTACCTGAACACACACACACAGTCATGAAGCGGCACGGCCTAATGTTAGACTTTAAGTCATGTGACTGATCAGACTCTTACCACACAGGTTTGGCTCTCTGGATGGTGGTCCTGATGCGGGGCTTCACGTAGTCATAGTAACCCTGGTTCTTGTGCTCCTCCTGACACCACACCAGGTCGGCGTTGTGGAAACGCTCAGACTCCGCCTTCACCTGATCGAAGGGGAACGGAGACAGCTGGAGAGAGAGGAAAAGTCATCAGTTAATATAAATATCTAGTCCTTTAAATTGTAATGCTCTGTTTTTAAAATCTCATATTTTTTATTTTATTATTCATACAATGATCAACTTGCACTTTGAAGCTTTGGCAGAAACTGTTCTGCCAATAAAACCTTTAAAGCAACGTAATGTAACATTTCGCATTGGTGCCCCCTGAACGTCTCTGAGTGTCACTGCACTGTTGTAAAACACAGAGATGTTAAGACTCCCCCTCGTAGACTACGTCCATATGTGGAGGAGCCGAGGCAGGGGGTGAAACCAGAGTCCAACTGACAAGCTAGAGTAATGTCATTTACTGGATTCTGCGCAAATATGATTCTGCTAAAGTCTACCGCCCGTTGCAGGGACGACTTCTGGTGTGAGATGGGTTTATTTATTTGTATGCAAATGAACTGAATTCAGATGGGTACAACTTTATAAATCACCCATAAAAATAAATAATTAGGAGAAAGTTGCTTGTTCAGCATCTCCAGAGTCACTGCCACTTTCCACATAGTTCGAGCACACTGAGTTCCATCAGTGCCACAATTTTAGCTCTGTCGGACAGTGAACGCTCTGCCCCACTGGCTCTGTTTCTGGAGCCATGAGCAGCTGAACACACATCACTGGAGAACTACAAGATCACAGGAATGAAGAGAAAACGTGCAGACAACATTTTGCTTTGTCTCTCTGAGGTTGCTCTGCTGTTCACTCTGTTGCACACAGCTCTTCACTGTCCCGCAACCCATCTTCAAAGTCGTGTTTAGGAGTGAACAATGCCGTGAGGTTATCCAATATTTGTGAAGCTGTTTAATATCATGTCAATATAATGACGAGGCTTGAAGACGGATCAGTCAAAATATATAGCTGGTTGGAAAATCTTACTTCACATGAGACCTCACTGTGTGTGTGTGTGTGTGTGTGTGTGTGTGTGTGTGTGTGTGTGTGTGTGTGTGTGTACCTGCTCCACGCGTGCGATGGCCACAATGTCCTCCATGCCTCTGTTCTTCCTCTCTTTGGTCAGCTCATAGTAAACCTTCCCTGTGCAGAAAATCAGCCTCTTCACCTCCTCTGGACGCTGGGCAGCAGAGCCTCCTTCAGGGATCAACCTCTGGAAGTGAGTTCCTGCAGGGAGGAGGATGAAGATATTGAACCTCTTCTTTATGAAATTCTGCTTTAAACGATCAGAAGTGTAGAAGACGTACCAGGCAGCATCTCGTCAAAGCTGGATCTGGCCTCGGGGTGACGCAGCAGAGATTTGGGGGTGAAGACGATCAGCTGGAGGGACAAACGGGAACGTTAGAATTTAAAATGGATCCAAACACAAACTTTACAAAAAAGAAAAAACCTGTGATGATTAATCAGTTAACAAACTAATATGGTAAAGTTTGTTCATGTTCAGGTTTTATTTATAGCCTGTGATTGTCAGAGCACACATCAGAGAAGATTCAATTTTTGAAACATAGAGGTCTGTGACGCCACGAGTGAAAGCCTGAACATGACCGAGGTCTGTTTAAATAAATATCTCATCATATCTCATTCCATCCAATAACTTCAACAGTCCAACAACACATTATCTGAACATGTACCTGTGTGTATGAGTTTTGCTTAAGTTTGTGTGTGTGTGTGGTCTCACAGGCTTCCTGAACGGCAGGAGGATCTGTCGTCTGAGGACGTGGAAGTAGTTTCCAGGAGAAGCACAGTTCACCACAATCCAGTTACAGTCGTAGAGCTGACGACTGCAAAGTCATCAGTGAGGGCCTGTGAGTGATGAAAGCCTGAACATGACCGAGGTCTGTTTAAATAAATATATCTCATCATATCTCATTCCATCCAATAACTTCAACAGTCCAACAACACATTATCTGAACATGTACCTGTGTGTATGAGTTTTGCTTAAGTTTGTGTGTGTGTGTGTCTCACAGGCTTCCTGAACGGCAGGAGGATCTGTCGTCTGAGGACGTGGAAGTAGTTTCCAGGAGAAGCACAGTTCACCACAATCCAGTTACAGTCGTAGAGCTGACGGACTGCAAAGTCATCAGTGAGGGCCTGTGAGTGAGAGAGAGAGCGCGAGAGAGAGAGCGAGAGAGAGAGAGAGAGAGAGAGAGAGAGAGAGAGAGAGAGAGAGAGGGACGCACAAATTAAATCACTTTTGAAAACAAGAAATCAATCACACAAAACAAAACGAACAAAATCAGAATTAATTTGACTTCTGAAGGTAAAAAAAGGTGTTTATCATAACGGCCATGTAGCTTCCACTGCACTTAATGTGTGTTTGGTGTGCGTGTGTGTTACCGGCATGACGTCGGGGTCGTCGTTGCACATCTGGAGGAATCTCTCTGGACGAGCTGAAGAATGTTCTGGGCCCTGCAGACACAAACAGACACAAACAGACCTGTGTGTCAGTTCACCTGTGTGTCAGACGGATGGTGTGACTGTTGTTTTTGGAGGAGTTTGCACATTAGGGCTGCATGCATGATCGTAAAAAACAATACAATACAAAAAAAACAATCTCGATTCACACATAAATGCAATTTCATTTCTAAATGATTCACTTCCCAATGCGTTCAGGACGAGCTGCATATACGGCAGCTTTTCCCACCTATGATGGGGCCATACTACTCTATCATCTCTCTCATTACTCATCCTCATTTACGGCACTTAACTGTCAGCCACCGTTACTATAGTTACCACTCATGGAGCAGGCAGTGGCATGTGTAGACGAGCAGGAAGGAGGCAGACACTTTATGGGGCTGAAGTTGGAGCCGCAGCTTTCATTTAGTTGAAAAATATATATATATTGTAAGAGAATGGTGATCTCAAATCTCAGGGAGAAAAATCGGGATTCACATTTTAGCAAGAATCACGCAGCGCTATCACATATCCAACTATCTCATGAAGAAGAGGCATAGGATGAGGCCATTTTTACAACTGTTCTTTATACATCTCGAACCCTCCAAAGAAGTTTAAAGCATTAAGATGAATGCTGACAGGCCTGACACAGCTCTGTGTGTGTGTTTTTGTGTTCGCATGCTCCTCACCATGCCCTCCATGCCGTGCGGCAGCAGCAGCACGATGCCGTTCTGGCGGACCCACTTGGCCTGACCGGGGCAGATGAACTGGTCGATGATGCACTGAGCCGTGTTGTGGAAATCTCCAAACTGAGCCTCCCACAGAACCAGAGCGTTCGGACTCGCCATCGCAAAACCCAGCTCAAAACCTGCAGATAATAAACAATGAATACGACAATAACACTGAATAAACTGATTTATAAACGAGCATCGGCAGGAGTGTTGGGACTGACCGAGGCAGCCGTACTCAGACAGAGAGCTGTTGCAGACGGTGTACGGCGCCTGGTCAGGAGCGATGTGGTTCATGGGGATACAGATCCTCTTGTCCACGTTCTGATCGTGGAGGACGTGATGACGGTGGCTGAAAGAGGACAAACAAGAGTCAGACTGCGGGTACACTCTACAGCCCTCAGCTTTAGTTTGATTCAATCTTCTTTTTCTCACAGATGAAATGAACCGAGAGGCGTTAAAAGTCTGCGAGAAACAAAGGTGGTTTACAGCAAATGTGCCAACAACCGAAGTGTTTGTTTTAACATGTGTTGTCCTTTTTGTGACGCTCGGATCTGAGAAACATTGTAATCCTGTTACATCGATAAATGCCACTGTCAGGTATTAATGGTGTATGGATGATCGTAGCAAACGCAGTTTCTTTCTACAAGGATAGTTTAGTTGCGGAATAATAGAGGAGAGAACCCAAAGTCAAACAACAGCTGATACAAATCTCAGTAAAAAGTCCAGCTGTTGAACTGGAAGAGGAGCGAGTGTGTTTCCATGAAGAGGATCTACGAGTGAAGGAATCGGCTACCAAAGCAGGCGGTGAACACAAGGTCTTCATCGCTAACTTCCTGAGTCATGTACCTGAACGTTCCTCGCTCCACGTCCTGTCCCGACAGCCTGATGTGAGTTCCCTCCTTCAGCAGAGACCCGAAGGCCATGTACTCTCCCAGAGCCCAGTCAACGGTCCGGTTACGAACCATCTCAGCCCGACCCTTCAGGATACGACTCAGACCTGGAAAGAAAAACCCACAAATACATCTGTCAGGCCTGTAGTCTTAAGCAGTTTACTTACCAATGAAAAGAACAAGTTGTTTATAATGTGTCAGGAGAAAACATTGACTTTAAATTATGATTCACCGTCTTCTCTTTGTCTGAAGTCAAATAAATAAACGAGGCATTAGAGGTATGATGAATGTGTCAAACCTCCGTGGATGGTGAAGTCCTCCACAGGTACAGACGAGGCCACCTGTCCGATGTGGTTCAGGCTCTCTTCAGTCAGACCAGTGGAGGGGCAGCTCATGGACTTGGGCTGACCGTCCAGAGTGAAAAAACCTGAAGGCGACAACAAAACAACAACATGTCAAGGTCATGATTCATGTGTACACGAGTACGGTCCGCTGGAGGATGTGAACACAACCGTGCTCAAACAAGGAAGTGGACCGCTGTTTGACGTAATTCTAAACGTCTCCTGTCGCTTCATCTGTGCAGCCCGGATCCTGTTTAATCCTCTGAGCTGCACGGTAGATGTGGAAGCAGGGAGAGGGTCGTTACTGGCGTCTCATAAATAACAAAACATCCACAGTTAGCAGGATGGACTCAGCCTGCGAGTTCATCCTTCTTTCTGGTTCTTGGCAGATTTGGAAATCAACTGTGTGCATACTGCCACCTGCTGTATCAGACTGTGTATATACGCAAGTGTACTCGGGTACAGAACAATGTTACTAATGTGAACACAGACCTGCGGGGGAGGGGGAGCAATCGAGCTCGGGCACGGTGCCTAATGTGAAAACGCCCTAAGACCTGTTTCCTTCACTTGTCTTATTTCCTCACTCTGTGTCTGATATGTTAGTATGATAGATTTTCTAGTTTGTTGTCTGTTTTTAAGAACAATCCAATCCAACCAAATATATATCGTATTTAATTCATCATTGTCCTGAAATAGTGACTCTGAGTCTCACTGATCTCTTGTCTCACACTCACCGGGCCATGGGGAGTCCAGCCAGTGCTTGATGTGGAGGATTTTCTCGTCTTTGGAGCGAGCATGCGCCTCCTCACAGATCTTATCGTATTTGGCGATCTCCTCCTACAAACACAAAACCAGAAGAGAGATTCAGACTTCTCAATCAAAACAAAAACAGAAAAGATGACGTCAAGTCTGTTGGGGGAATTTCTCTCTGCACATTTTACAGTATTGATCAAGAGGAAGACATCTTTTGATCTAATACTTTTAATCATGAATGACACCAACATTGAAGTACATCCAGATCAATGTCACTTTGATCCACCTGCAGTACCACGAGCAAAAAACAAAAACTTCCTGCTCGGACTTTGACACTCGTCAGACGTCATCCTTGGACATGCAGGAAACACGAGAACAAAGTAACGCGGTCATGTTTGTTTGTTTTTTACCTCGTACTCCTGCCTGCTGACGGCTCCCTCTGCGATCAGCTTCTCTGCGTATTTCTGCAGAACCGGCTTCTGCTTCTTGATCTGTTTGTACATCAGCGGCTGAGTGAACATCGGCTCATCCATCTCGTTGTGACCCATACGACGGTAACACACCTGAGAACACACACACACACACACCTTCAGGTTAAAATACATTCTGCTGTATCTCTAAGAGGAACGCTGCTCATGCTCACATGTTGCGTTTGTGTGCACACTGACCAGGTCGACCACCACGTCTTTGTGGAACGTGGCCCTCCACTCGGCGGCGACCTTGCAGACGTAGATGACAGCCTCGGGGTCGTCTGCGTTGACGTGGAAGATGGGAGCGTTGACGACTCGAGCGACGTCAGTCGGATACGGAGACGAGCGAGCCACACGAGGGTCTGTGGTGAACCCGATCTGGAGACACGGCATCAAATCTCAGTGGTCCGTTGTGTGTTCATCGCTGTGTGTGTGTGTGTGTGTGTGTGTGTGTGTGTGTGTGTGTGTGTGTGTGTGTGTGTGTGTGTGTGTGTGTGTGTGTGTGTGTGTGTGTGTGTGTGTGTGTGTGTGTGTGTGTGTGTGTGTGTGTGTGTGTGTGTGTGTGTGTGTGTGTGTGTGTGTGTGTGTGTGTGTGTGTGTGTGTATCTGTGTGTGTTACCTGGTTGTTGACGACGACGTGCACGGTGCCGTGTGTGGTGTATGACGGCAGGTCAGACAGATGGAAGGTTTCGTAGACGATGCCCTGACCGGCAAACGCTGCGTCTCCATGGAGCAGGACGGACATCACCTGAACACACAGATACACACACCTGCTTCAGAAACAAAACACTTCTACATGATTTTAAACAAGAAGAGGGCGAGTGAAGCTACAGCCTGCACTCATTACTTTTTGTTTGGTTTCATCTGATGTATTTTCCACAGATGTTTGAGTACAGGCCTGTTCAGCTCTTTGGAGCCTGTGTTGTTGTAGGTGTGTTACTGAAGGGACAGATGAGGACATTTTTTTTTTTATAGTTTATTCAAATACATTTGGGACAGAGTTGAAGAAATCCAAAATGAGACATTTATTTCTGCCTTTCTTACCACACATGAAGCTGCATCAGCATGTTTGTTGGCAGGGATATGGAGACCAGGTTTAAAGGCTTTTAACAAAAAAGCTCAAGATTTTTTTTTTTTTAGCACTTTCTAAGAACCTTTGTCAGACTCCTATAACCCTCAAAGGATAATTTAAATCAATCTGTGGATCTTTATGGATGTTGTGTTTGGGTTAAATCGTTCTCTGGATTTGGATCGTGGTGACCTTTTTTAAAGCAGCAGGACTGGTTTAGTTGGAATATTATGATTGGGAGAGTGACAGTTAAGATTGCGGTTTGTTTGTCGGAGGTCTGACAGACGCATAGATTGTGGCTGCTGTGGTGTTTGGATCTTGAAATGGTTGACTTTGTCAGAATCACAGGAACCGCAGCTTTCTAACAATGTGGAACTTTTAGGGTAGACTTTGTTTTCTTGTGAACGTAACCTCTGATGAGGATTTGTTTAAATAATTTGTCTGTCTGCTCCTTCCTCTCTCTGAGTCTCACCCGGTTGCCGTCGTTGTCTCCGCAGTAGAACTGCTCAGCTTTGGTCTTTCCTTGCACCACGGGATCCACGGCCTCCAGGTGAGACGGGTTCGCCATCAGAGACAGGGTGATGTTTCTGTCTGTCACACGGTTGATACGACGATGGTACATTCCCAGATGGTACTTCACATCACCAGAGCCCTGCGGAGGAGGAGGAGGAACAACAACACAGAGGTCAGAGTGTGGAGGAGACGTGGAGATGTGGACAGTATTTATGGTTCTTAAAGCAGCGTGAGTACCTCGTCAGCAGCTTCCAGTTTGGAGTCGAACTGACAGAAAATCTGCTCCAGCTCTTTACGGATCACGTTGGCCAAAACATTCAGACGACCCCTTTGAAGAGATGAGAGTAAGGTCGACGTGAAGCACGCTGTAACTGAAAAGCTCTGAAAATAACGGGCATTACTGTAATTGTTGTTTTACCTGTGAGGCATGCCCATGATGACGTTCTCCACGCCGTTCTCAGAGGATTTATCGATGATGGTCTTCAGAGCCGGGATCAGAGACTCGCAGCCCTCCAGACCGAAACGTTTCTCTGCAGACCACTTCTTCTGCAGGAACTCCTCAAACCTGCAAACACACACACAATATAAACAATAATGTGTTGCAACTAATACTGCACAATGGCAAAGGTTAATACACATCCAGCGGGCTCTTCTAAGAAAAGATTAAATATACACCACAGCTGCTTGATTGAGGAGAACGGAGGTTGGATGCAAGTTTTGGTGGAGAGGGAGGGATGTTGTGGTGTTGATAAGTGTGGTGAGGTTACCTGGTGGAGCGGACCATGCGGGCCAGCAGCGTCCTCTTCTCCTCCAGAGTGAACTGCATCACTCCTGGAGTCTCAAACTTCTGTCTGATCCACTGACACTGCTCCAGGTCGTTGATGAACATGAACTCCACGCCGATGTGCTGACAGTACGCCATCTGAGCAGCAGATACCACACAGGTGAGTGTCAGGAGCAGCGCAGGACAGGTGTATGACTTTAACATGTATATTTGTTTTTAATTATTCAGACAAAAGCTTTCAGGGTGAGCTGCATGTGTGAGTTTCTCCTGCCAGCCCTCAAAGTATTTTGTGTTTGCATACATGAACACACAAAGTAGTTAACCCCTGGATATCTCTGTCACCACCTCAGATGCTTAAACTCATCAATATTCACTTTTATTTGAAGTTTAAACTGTGAGAATGAAGAGTTTCAAAGCCACAAAGTTTTATTAAATACCTAAGAGACACACAAACCAACCATGTCTCCGTTGCTGGTGGAACACCTCCTGATTTCTACTTATTGTTTACTTACCTCCAATCGGCGGATGATCTCCTTCAGCGGCAGGGCGCTCTCTGAGCCGCCGATGAAGGTGGTGGTGGGCAGCCGGAACACCTTATCAAGGTCCGACTCATCCAGACCGTAGAAGCCTACATGTCCCATGATGCACCACAGCACAGGAGAGCAGGAGGAGGAGGAGGAGGAGGAGGAGGAGGAGGGGGGAGAAAAGAGGGAAGGAGGTGAGAAAAGGTTGCAGGACAGAGGGAGTGGAAAAACAAAGAGATGGACAAACAGGCCGTGGACAAATGAGAACATGCATACAAAGGTTATTAATGAGTGCATGAATAAATCAATGAATATTAAATGAATAACATGGAGACAAAGATGTAACAGCCAGACATGTTATTGAAGCACAGACACACAACAGACATGCAGACAGATGAACAAAAGGAGAGAGAAGAGAGCAGAGAGAAGCGACAGCAGCAGAAACAGTTTTAGTTTGTTGATGGAGGAGTGTTTGTGTCGCAGCAGCAGGACGGAGTGAGGAGAAGTTCAGGGGTTCAGTCGAGTTAAAAAAAGAAAAGTAAAAGTAAGAAGAGACATCGTTAGTGTCATTCATCTGAACCAATCAGAAGCTACACACATCAAAACAGACATGACGGAGCTCAGTCTGATGATATTTCTTAAATCAGCAGGTAAGGTACCTTATAACAATGACTGTGTTTGTTAGTATCCCTCCGCTGCTGAAAGTAGTCCCTAACAAATTCCCTGTGTCCTCTTTATGGGTTACAGAGAGACGCTGATTTCAGAGATTCTTGAGCCTTTTATTAAAAACAAAGCATGTTAGACTGAGATGATTTCAAAGTCTGCAGCAGGGAAACGACAGGCTCAGAGCGACGAGTCTCACACGCTGTAGACTCCCACGCTGTGTCTGTTTTTAAGACTTTTGATTACAAATCGGAGAAAAGAGAATAACAGCAGACTGGTTCTTTCACAGGTGACATTATTCAGGACTTCTCAAAGTTGAATTTAACTAACAAACTAAATAACATTGATAATCTGCCTCAGAAGCTATAAGTCTTAAAGTTTACTTTGATGTTTTTAAGGAAGAGGTGTGTCAGATGCTGTAGAGATTATAGATCCCCCGAGACATATGAAGGAATAAAAAAGGCCATCCCCAGTCCATCATCTTCATCATCATCAGTCTACATTTATGAGCCTCTTCCCGGCTGGTTAACCTCGGCTGACAGCTGTAAATCAGCACGGACGACACTGAGGGTGAAATGTCCCAAACCTGAAGAGAAAAAGGTGACGGGGAGTCTCCAGAATGTTTATTCAAAAAAACAAAAAAAACAAAGCTCTGTTCACCTCAGAGAGAGCAGCGATGTGTTAATGACAGCAGAAATGATAACATGAGTGACATGTTGGGAGGGTTATGAGGATTTAATCGATTATTCTGCAACTTCAAACGGATTATGGGACAGTTAGGGGAGGAGGTGTTATGAAACGAAGAGGACAGATTCAAAGAGAAAGAAGAAAGATGTGTTTTTGTGTGTGTTCGGGAAAAATAGAGTCCTACTGTGTCCTTAAATCAAACAACACAAGCACTTTAAAATGTTTCCTGTTAGACTCCATGAGCAGGACACACTCAACCTGCCAATCAGAGCGCTGGACAGGCAGACTGACGGCTGATTCAGCAAATCAGAGCGCTCACACAAGTTAAAAATCACTTCTGACAGACTGAGCAGTAAACAGAGACGACACAGCCACAAACCAAACGAGTGACAGCCAAGCTGGCCAATCAAGAAGCAGAGTCTCCCTAAAAGTAGCAGACAGACGGATCACTGCTCAGACTCTTCATCCTCTCCTCTCCTCCTCCTCCTCCTCCTCGTCCAAAGAGCGTGGAGGTAGTGAGAGAGGAGAGGAAACACATTTAAGACGACACTCTTCTTCTCTACAAAACATGGCAGCCAAGACTTTTAAAGTTTCAGAGACACAAAGCAACACGCTCCTGATCTTTACCCCTCTGTCTGCAGCCGACACTAATGTGGGAGGGGCAATCTGACTCTGAAACACAGTCACAAAACTTGATGTTAAAAAATGAAGACTCATTCAATCTTTTCCTCGACACACATGCTCAGCACGCGAGGACAGCAGCGCGCAGAGACTCCTGACTTTAATACTCGCAGTGCGTTCACACATCTGGCTTCATCTGGTTTGTTTCAGTTTGTTCAGACACAAATCATAGAGACACTTTTTTTTAAAGACGGTAGTTGAAGTAGAAGGTAGAAAGACTAATAAAACATGCTAGATTTTCTGATGAAAGGTTGAGCGGCATCCCAGACTTGATGGTTGTTCACTATGACACACTACACGAGATAAAATGATCGATTTTCGAGTCCCTACGTCCGCTAGATCAGGCTTAAATCGTGCTTATAGTGTGTAGTCTGACCTCAGCATAACATTTTAGAAATGGACTTCATCTGACAGGTCGGTGTCCATCTTGAAGTCCTGGTACTGATCCGGGCTAACAGGTTTTCAAACTACTGTAAGCAGGACATAATCAGGAGAATTCACCTCGAGCGAATGAGAGGGGGTGTTGACTTTTATTCCCTGTAATCTGTGCACGGTGCACAGACTGTCTTCAAGCGGCCGCTACGATCTCCGTGCACATAAATAAACTGTGTATTATCTTTTCTGTTCTCCAGTATTGTCCCACTGTGAGGTGCATGTGTGAACAGCCAGGTACGGAGAATATCCAGAGCAGTCCTCCTGAAATTATCTAGATATTTTCAGGAATGCAGATGTGAAAACGGCTTTAATTGTATTTCATTTTAAACGTGCCGTAGCAGATTTTCGAAGGCTTAAACTGTCAAAGATCCACAAAACATGAGAGCAAAGCTGAAAACAGATTCATATTTAAAAAAAGCGAGATTAAAGACACAGACAAAAGTTCTAACTCAGAGCAGCTCTGCTTCAAGCTAAAGAAGCTAACAGAGCTAACTACAGACAGGCCAAACATTTTCTATCAGTGACAAATTCTGTCAATAATAAAACAAAAAGGATTATTTTTAAAAATTGAGAATTCATTTCCCCCAATCCACTGCCATTAAAAAAGTCACTGACAGAAAAATCTTGTGAAAAATCCTCCATCAGAGATTTCTTCAAACTCTTCTACTGTTTATTGGACAGAGCAGGGCGCTAGCAGCAGCTAAAAGCTAACTAAACTACATGGACAGAGCACACAGCAGACATTCAGAGATCAGAGGGACTGAGGCAACACTTGAGCTGCAGAACGACCTCAAAGGTTGTTTTGTTTTTACTCAGGATGTTTCCTCTTTACTGAAGTCTTAAAGAAACATTTCTCTTTGGTTCATCGTCTGAAATCAACAAATAAACAAACGGGACGTCTTATGGAGGAGAAAACAGCGAGCGTGAAGAAACATCAGCTGTTGTCTGCCAAATAAGATGTGATGGATGGAAAAGAAGAAGAGTGAAGCAGATGCTACTAAATCAGGAAAAAATGAAACAGAATAATTTAATAAAGCAAACAAAGAGAGAGCTGGATAGTCGGAAACTTTGAGTTCATTATCTGAATTATGTCGCTCTCTTTGTTTCTGCATGTTGGTGATCATTTAGGGGAACTTTTAAATTGCACGTTGGTTTTCAATTCTTATTCCTGAACGGGTTATGTTCATTTTCTTGGTAATTTTTAATTCTAATTAAAATTCTGATCTATGTAGGGGTTTCTTTAAATCTTTGTTCAGGTTAATATTTAAATTCGGATGGGGGGAATTCCAATGGGACAGAACTTTGTGACTTACCGTCTCTACTTTTTTCGTTTTTATGGCTTTTGTCTACCGTTCTATTCTTGCGGGCTTCCCCTGGGAATCATACGTTTCACGTAACAATGAACTATGGGTAATGCCCGCTTAGTGACGGGGTTCATAAAGGGATCAAAAAGTCAGCGAGAGATCCTCACACACATTAGGATTTGACAGTGGGACAGCCCTAAGCCCTGACAGACTGAGCGGGGACGCTCATCAGAGTCAGTGAGTGTGTGAGTGTGGACATCGAGACTGGGCCTCTGTCTCTATATGTCGGGCCTGTGATTGACTGGTGACCAGTCCAGGGTTAACCCCGCCTCTCAACCAATGACAGCTGGGAAAAAGCGTTATAAGAATTCAGTGTTTCCCTACCATTATATTAGGGGGGCGGCCGGCCCCCCCCAACGGCCCCCTTGAAGGTCAAGTATTACTTTTAGGCTTTTTGGGCCTTTATTGTAGAGATAGGATAGTAGATAGAGTCAGAAATCAGAAAAAGAAGTCGTTAAGGATACCTTTCCGATAGAAAGGGAGTGTTTGTGTTGGCGTGTGTCCCCCCAACCCCCCTAAAACTGTAAACTTGGGGGAAACACTGGGATTGAAAGGATAATTATTTTTTTGTAAATTCATATTTTTTTACTCATCTATTTTCATGTATTGCTGTTTTTGTTCTGGGTGTGTAAGTTCGATATTTTGATGTGATGCAGATGATGTAAAATCAGTCAGTAATCAAGTTAAATAATTGTGATCTCGATATCACTCAAAATAATCGCCATTATGTTTTGTGACATGAGCAGCCCTAACTTTGACATTTTATACATTTCTTTGTTGGTTTCCATTATTAAATCATAAAACAGTGGATCCACGCTTTCCTCAGAGCTGAATGCTGCATATATCACACAACACATTTGTATGACTGGAACAGTTAGCATTTGTAGCAGATGATTTGAATGTGTATATTTGTTCCCATTTTAATGTTTTATCTTGATTTTTATGTCATGGAAAAATAGTTTAGCAGCGCTGACTGTCGCTCCACAAAGTGGGAACATAAGTTTGATAAACGTAAAGACAGTGAACCAAAGAAAATATTCCTTTTATTCTAACCTGTCGTCTAGTGCAGCAGCTCCTGCAGGAGCTCAGGATGTCAGATAGAAACTCTGCAGTCTGCTGAACTGGTTCCTCGTGTTACCTGTCCTGATATCCTGAGTTCCTGAAAAAGTCACTGCACACTAATACACGTGATAAACTCTATTAAAGGCACAAACTAGCTTCAAAGCACTGTGCAGGGTCACACCAGTATTTGTGTTTCTCATACCTCCTACCGTTAGGATTTTCAGCCTCTCCTTGAACACAGCAACATCTGGATGGTGGCCAGCAGGGGGCAGCAAAGGGAGAGACACTCGGAAACATTAGTGACCCACAACCTGCTTAAACCAAACAACCACGGCCATTTTACACCAGCGCCACAACCGTCCACAGCTAAAACAGAGCACAACAGTGACCCCTGCATCTCAACGTCTCCACCACCTTTTTATTTGGTAACAAATCCACAGAATCAGTGCAGACGTTTGTTGTAAAAAAAAAAGGGTGTGGATAAAAAAGGGAAGTGGTGGAGAAGAGGGATGCAGTCAAACCATGCTGAGGTTCAAAAGTCCTGAAAACAGAAACCACACAAACCAACCCACACTGAGGGTTTCACAAAACAGGAAGCCATTCTGCACAGGTCACCTTCATCAGAGCGAGGATTCCCCGAGCTGCACGGACACTCTACTCAACCACTGACATCCTCTGTTTGCAGTAAAAACTTGAGTCTGTTCACAAACCAGACTGATTCACAAACTGTCCCTGAAACATGAAGCTTAAAAACTCATTGATGATGTCACTTTTATTCAGTTAAAGCGGACTGTTAAGAAAAGCTAAAGCGGGTAGCGGTTAGTGGCAATCAAGCAAGAGAGCTCAAAGAGAGAGACAGACCAGGCACTGATAAGAAACTACATCAGACCCACAGAGGAAACTTAAAGTAGTACACGGTTATCAGGTAACATCAGTAAAAAAGATCAGATAAAATAATGTAAATTCAAACAAAAACCAAACGTTTCTCTCTGTGTCGTGATGTCCAATAAATCTGCATCTCATTATCAGTAAAAATGTTTAAGAAGTTTTTTTAATGCAGTTTTTTCTGGTTTTGAAATTGTTGCACGAATCTTGCTTAAATCGAATTTGCTTTATTTGAGTAATGATGCCGTTTACTAGATTTCTGCTTTTATTCTAAGTATGTGTTTATTGTTTTTGCACCAAAACACCGACACACACATTCCTCTACTCGGCAATAAATAAAGCTGAGCCGCCCCGGAGCGTGCCACCAGCGCCACTACGCTCTGCTACAAATATGCTGCGAGTCTTTTTCCGACGCTGCAAGCACGCATCAAGCTGGACAGAATAAAACAACCCGCACAGGAAGTCAGACAAGGAAACGCACAGAGTGTTGGGTCAATTTCAAAATAAAACACAAAATCCCGACTCACGATCGTATTTTCCATCACTTTATCAACATGACGTGAAAAGGGGGCACCGGACGAACGACAAAGCAACATGTTGTTTGCACGTTTTTCTCTTTATTCCCGCGTGATCTTGTAGTTCTCCTGTGATGTGCATTAAGTTCATCATGGCGGCGCTCACGTCCAGAAACACTGATGAGTTGACGCTATACAAATAAAAATTGATTGAAATTGATTGATTGAAACGGATCCAGTGGGGCAGGGCGCACGCCATCCGACGGAGCAAAACGCGGTGCGCACCGACTATGTGAAAAATTTGGGGTAACCTGACATGAGTAGACGAGTCACATCAATCATTTCCTGTCACATGTGATGCTACTTAGCTAAGTTAAATCAGCCAACAGAAAAGGCCAAAAGGCTACAAAGACAACGAGCTCAAAGCTGAGAGCCGACAAGTCAAAGCAAAAGCCAAACAATCAAAAAAAGCAAAAGCTGAAACACACTCGCTGCTGAAAACATTTCAAACTGCAGCCACAGGTCTCTGTCGTCAAACCGAAGATGCTGCAGACTAACATCTCGACACCAACTGATACAGAAAAAACAGTTTCATCGAGCAGGGGTGGAGATCCTCAAACAGAAACAAAGGTGAGACGCATCTGAAAGAGTCTCGACTCGGACTCTGTTCCTGGAGCTTACGATCATTTCTACAATCTTTAACCCACTTTGTCAAACTTCAGTTTCTGTCAGTGCTTTGTTGACTTAATACATTAATAAATACATGTCATGGTGAAAATGTAGACTCTACTTTTCAAGATAAAACAATTAAAAAAAAACAGAAAAAGAGGGTGAAGGTTTTAAAAAGAGATTTTAAATAAGAATATCTTCTATTTAAAGATGTGATCCATAAGATGCTAACAGATTTTAAATGATGATGTTTGATATTTTTCATCAATGAGTGTCTCAAAGCTTTTCACAAATTGCTAATCTTGTTATTTTAGCCAACACCTCGTGGCCGTTCCTCTACCACCAGGTATAAAAAGATTAAATCCCAAAACACCTGAGGGCAAAATCTATTTCTGCAAAGTGAATCCAATTTAGATCTTTGTCGATAAACCGATCAAACAACGAGATCAAGGTTCGAGGGATGTTTGGCGGACGCTTTCACTCGCTAAGGGGAGAGTATCTCATCCTGATTCCAGGTTAATATCTGAAGTTTTAGAAAGAATTCAAAGTAAACGAGATAATGTTATCTAAAAGTGAAACTAACTAGAAAATGTCTAATAAAGAGAGAGAAAGTTGTTATATAGAAGGTTCCAGGAGATTATGTAAAGATTGAGCTGAGATTTACATGTTTTAGAAACATTAATCATAAATGAGAAAGCTCCAGGAATATTTGAGTGTTTGAGGGATGTTTCAGGTTCAGTTGAGAGTTTGAACACCCACAGCAAAACGAAAACGAGCAGAAACATTAACTGTACGAGAGGTTTGCCTCCTGTACAACAAGGTTTCAGAACAAGTCACAGAAACATTCCCAAACTTCAAACTTCCACCGACTATTGTAAACTTTCTGAAGTAGCCGGACTGCGAGGCAGACCGGGAGGAAACGGGAGAACAGAGGGGGAGTTAGAAGACGTTGTTGTTCTCTAAGGGTTTAACTCCTCACCCAGCTTGTCGGAGGAGGTGATAATGTCAGTGGGGACACACGAGTCCAAGTCAGCGTCCATGATGCCGAGGGGGTCCAACTGGGCCACATGGTGCCCCCGGATCTACAGGGGGTGACAACAGCACAGAGCCCACCCGGGACAGGAGGAAGAAGAGGAGGAGGAGGATGGAGGTGAAGAAGTGAGGAGAAGTTGGACGAGGAGGAGGAGCGAACGAACGAAACGAAGGAGAAGGAATGAGGACGAGGAAACAAGACGCAACAAAACAGCCGATAAGGGGAGGCGAGAGGACGTTGAGAGGCGAGTGGATGAGAAGCAAGATGGAGTGAAAATTTGGAGGAAGTAAAAGAAAGAGAGATAACGTGAAGGAGAAGAATAGAGAGAAGGGAATCATATAGAAACAGGGTTTGACAGAAAAACGAGAACAGAGGAAAGAAGGCAGAAATCCAACAACAGCAGGGTAAAAGAATAAAAGACGACCAAAGAGAGGAAGAGGAGGAGAGAGGGGGAGAGAGAGAGAGAGAGAGCGAGAGAGAGAGAGAGAGAGAGAGAGAGAGGGTGGGAGGGAAAAGCAACATTAACACCACAGACTGGAAGCAGTTTGTTTTTCAGCTCTGTTGTCTCACCGACGTCCTGGAAGCCGCTATTGACCGGAGCATCATCAAAATTCACACAGCTGATTCCCAGAGGATCCAACTGAGCATTGTGATGCCCCATCACCTAAACACACACCCACACACACACACACACACACCTGGTTATCGCAACACAACCTGCAGTGAAGGTGCAGGCCTGGTTACTGGAGGTCTTCACAGGTCAACGTTAAGGACAGACGATGTGATGAGTCTGACTGTAACAATGATGCACTGGTGGTGATGTCACTTCTCTTGTGTGTGGATTTTTATCATATCTACTATCAATGACAGAGTTCACTTTTCCTGACAGCTCACCTGGTGGCACCTGACTCTGATTTGGACAGTGACTCGGATTCGGCAGCGCAGTTATAAGACGTTCACAGACAGATTCTTTCTTAATGTTTAAAGTCATGTCGCTGCCATTTAGGCAAGAAGGTGAGGTAAGATCAGCTCGCAATCCTAAAGCCCTGCAGAAGAGTGCCACAGAGACACTGACTCATTAAAGATACAATATGTACAATTCTTACACCATGATGTCTAAATTTATAAAAAGAAATCGACTAAACGTGTTATTTTTGTTGAACGCTTATATTACCTCAAAAGTGACCAAAGCCAGAGAAATCCTTAATTTTATAGTTGTAGCAGGATGTGTGTTGTCGTGTCAGCCACCGTGATAGACACAACATGTATACCGTTGCCATGGAAACACCGGATGTCAAAGACCGCTACATAAGGAAGAGGTAGCTGCTGCTGAAAGCTGCCGAGCTGTTGCTTTATGTGTGATAAAAACCGCATGTAAATTATACTCGGATACTTTAGCTCGTCTGTAAACGTTTTCTCTTCCTCAGGTCGGTTTCGCCCGGTCGTCTTGACTACGGTAAAGTCGGAGTTTGTTTTCATCGGGGAGGGTGAGTAGTAGAGAGAATCACTCCTATGATTCCCCGCACACCTCGATATCATCTTTGTTATTGTTTTGATTTAGAGCCCCCTGGTGGTGAACTTTACTCACTGTACGTTTAACTGATTTTAGCAGATTCATTCATTAGGTTTGCTTGTTTTGGAAGCAAGCATACATTGGTGGTAAAATCCGGCTCTGATTAATAATCTTGTGCAAGACGAACCCTAAAGGAATCCTGACCTTAGATATAAATATCAGATATAATAGATATAAAAAAAGCTCGTCCAGCAGCCTACCTGACGTCCTGTGCACTGACCAGCCACAAAGAGTCAGCGAATTATAACCTGAAATGAACGCTGTCTTTACCTGCTCTTACCTCTTTTGGGTCTGTTTGTTTTAGAGTGTACTAATGTTCAGCATATTAATGCACCTGTTCCAGCAACTTTTTCATTCTGATTCACACTGGACAAACAACTTTGGACCTGTGAAGACCTCCGTTAATCCCGCCGTACACCATCAGATAAAGAGATGTCAGGATGTTTTGTAAGTCCGAGCATGCTACGCTTCTGTAATGTCATGTTTTATAAAATACAGAATGTTGTTTTGTTATTTCAGTGCAACCCCGTTCAAGTTGCACCGACTATGAACCAAATAAACATTTACTTATCATAGATATTTCCAACAAAACATTCTGCTTTCATGTTGAGAAACTTTGAACTTACATCCTCTTGATTAACTCACTTTCTGAGAGGCATCAACAACTCGCACTCACTGGAATAACATTCAACTCTACCATGGATTAAATGTGTTTCTGCATGCAACAACAGCTTCTTAGAATAATAACTCAATTTCATGATTGCGCAAATATCAAACTGTAATAACTAAGTCATTAAATTAACAGACAGTCAAACTTTTTCATTAGTGATGTGCTGTCACTACTGAGCTGCACTTCTGTGGGGGAAAAATGCAAGTTAAATATCACACACATCTCAATAACAAGACACACAGAGGAGAAAATAAAACATATTTATCAGAATTTAAAAAAGGCCTTTTCAATATCAAGGAGACATAATGTTTCTCCAGGATAATAAAAGTGCAAAGTTAGGTTTTAAAACATCTTAACTAATGTCACACTGTTAAAAAAAAAAAAAGAAGCCGATAAATTTCATTTATGTCAATGTTATCTCTACATCACTGAACTGTTTGTCACGTGCCTTATAAACACACAAAAGAGATGTTTGTGTATTTACCTCTTTTAACTTGTGACTATTTTAACTCCCCCAGTGATATTTTGTTTACGGCATTTTTAAGGTCTGAAGAGGAAAAGTTCAATATAGAGGAAGGCAAAAGACAAAAGGTTTCAGGAGATGTCCAGAAACCAAGGAAGTCTTATTTCCTGGTTTCTTTTCTATTCCTCCAACGAGGACGTCTCAGATAAATAAACCCTCCTGTATTGGGAACCTATCATTAGTTTTCAATATGATCATAATATGTACCCCAAATGTTAACCTAACACTCTGCAGCTCTTCATCGTTGATAACTAACTCATAAGCTTTAGGTGCAGATATTCAACTCTTGTTTTTGTGCCTGTGTTACCTGGTAGGCCCTGATGAGGGACTGGACAGCCAGGTGATCCTCCACCAGCTTCTCCACGTTGGGCTGAGCTCCGACCAGAGAGGAGAGCTGAGGAGCTGAAGCCAGACCCAGAGGAGACTGGTACGCTGCACCCGGAGGAGCACCGGCGTTAGCATTCCTGAAAAATACATCCCACGACTGGAACGGAGGAGGAGGAGGAGGAGGAGGAGGAGGAGGAGGAGGAGGAGGAAGAGTGAGGATGAGGCGAGAAAGAAAGACATGGGTAAGAGATAAAGAGAGAGAGAGAGGGGAAATAACATTAGACTTTTTATAAACAATAGAAAAAGAATAGAATGTGCTTTGACTTACATCACGACATCTTAAAAGATATTTTTTGAAAAGTCACAACGTTATGAATGATTTTTTTTTTACGCTCTGATCCTGATCAGTTACTGGATCGCTGGCGATAGCTAACGTCTGTGTGAGATATAAAAGAACAAATTGGACTGCTGTCCTCATCGTTCTTTCTTGTGTTTGACACTTATTCAGGATTCAGCACACACTTGTTATATGCTGTCAGTAAATGCTAAATGGATTTGAGCTTGTATAGTTATTTTCTAGTCTTCTGACTACTCAAAGAGCTTTTACACCGCAGAAAGAAACTGTATGTATGCTTTGGTAAGAGGCACTCAGGGAAACCGACACAGCCTTTTTTTTCTGCCGCAGCTTCAGGTTTCCACTCAGTGACTCATGAGTCCAGAATGAGCTGAAAAACCACAGACTGCAAACATCTCACTCCCAGGATGAGCTCAGTGCTCTCACTACAACACAAAGACATTTCAAAACTGAACACTCTTCACACAGTTTACTCCCTCCCTCTCTCCATGTTTCAGCCTTTTGCCCTCTTTAAGTATCAATCAATATTTACTGGAGGACTATGACTTACGGTAAGTCGTGCCTACAAACTGCATAACCCGAGTACACACAGCAGGTAATTACTGCAAAAAGACGTTCAGGAGGGTGTGATAACAAAAATGTAGTTGAAATGTGTTTTCCAACATGTGCTTCTGTATTCTCAGCCTGTTTGTCTACATCCTCTCCATGCAGGAATGTTCTTGTTTTCTTTCATGCCTTAGTGTGTTTTTTTTACCACCAACTTGCACATCACTCACATATCATGCAGCCATGTTTCAATATTTTATCCTAATGTGCAGCTATACTTTCTAGTACATAAATGCAGCAGAGTGTTTGGAGTAATTTGACATGTGGTGAAGTAGTGGGGCTTTAAGAATTTACCTTCAGCTTCACTGCGGCGCCATTTATCAGTGAATAAAGTAAAAGAATAAATCTAAATGGAGACTAGTGAGCGAAGGCGATGGCATAATCAGCTAAATGAAGCATTATCTAATCAGCAGAGTACGGAAGCATTTCAAAATCTAAAACAAAACATTCAGCCTGTTTGAAGCTGCTTCACTCCACAACGCCAGCTGATCTCAGGACTCAGCTGCTGCTGTAAAACCAGAGTCAGCAGAAAACAGCAGTGGAGAAATGTCAGCTGTGTAACCTGTCATCACTGACCACTGTTCACTACACTGATCCTCAGGAGCCCAAGAGAAGAAATGTAGGAATAAGTATTTAAGTAATGTATATTAGTGCAATAGTGATGCATTCAAAACCTTAATTATCTAATTATATGACGGGTATTCAGTCTGTTGACTGCATGATACAACCTGAACTTCAGATAGGCCTGCACAATATGAGGAAATGTTCTATGAGCATTAAAGTCGTCAACATTTTTGTTTTTTTAAAGCTTTTTGGTACGTGATTTATAACGATACAATCTGTTATTTCAGTAAGTAAACGTACTGTCTAAGTTGATCTACTTAGTGCTGCTGGAGCATTTTGACCTCTAATAAGTGAAGTGTTGAAGCATTAGATCCCAAAGTCATATTTCAACCAAAAGCTGCAGCGGAAGAATGAGAGGGTGCTGTCTACATTTTGTTAAAAGTGCAATTAAGACAGTGTGCAGGAGTTTGCCAGCAATATTTGGTAGTTTAAAACAAGAAATTAGACAATATTTGATGCCTTGGACTTTTGTTGGCGCGGTATGGAAACAGACCTGATATCGTTAGATTTGTTTATAGATTCAAGATTAACTGTATTTGTTCCACAAGGGGAGAAATGTGTCTCTGGCTCTTCATACATGGTGCAGATGTGAAAAATCTGGTCATCATCCAACTATTAAAATGTACGCCTGCAGTGAGCGAGCATCGTTTACATTCAGTAACGTGATACCTTATGCATTAAATTCAGACTTTTGCGATGTGTTTACTGCACATGCTCATATTGCAATGACAATAAACTTGTGATTAATTGTTTGCAGCCATAACTGCAGCTTTAATACTGAACTCACTCTGAAGTCACGCTGTGCTGATGTAAAAAAAAAAAAAAAAAAAGGCAGAATCTTGGTCAAACACGACCACAGACAGATTTATGTTCGTTATAAAACCGAACAGCAACCTTGAAGCAAATGATTTCTTCTGCATCACCTTGGATGTGACATTACAAAATGAATCATTTCATCTGAGATGATTACCGAGAAAAGCACAAGTCGACCTTCGTAACCTAGCAACAAAGGATGCTGGTAAGAAGTGCTCTGAAATGGAGGTTTTGAAAGTGCCTGTGCAAAAACCACTGTCAGTGATCACAGGTCCTAATGCATTTACTGGCATACACTGCTTTAAGTTTAGAATAGAAATAGAATAGAAATTACTTTATTGATCCCAAACTGGGAAATTGTGGGCAATTTATAGGCAAGTAATTAACCTTTAGACGATATTTCTCATATACCTTTGTAGATGTACTGTACCTTACTTTTTAAACACAGGGAATCCCCTTGTTACAGGGGATTTTAGACATTTGAACAGTTTCATCATCTACAACCCAAAATTGGATCATCATTAAAGCTGGTATGTTCTTGTTTTAGCCATTGATTGTATTTGCAGCCTGTGGTTTCATCTCCATTTACAGTTTTCACAGTTTACCATGCAAGCACTTCCTGGTGCACTGGGAGTGCACTGGTAAAAGATCTAATTGAAACAGCAGGACGGGTCAGACAGGTTGAAGGAGTATCCTTCCAAACAAATGGAAACAGACTATTTGAAAACATGCCACAAGATTTGTTTAAAAGGTTCACTGACTCTGAAACTAAACTCTGAGACTCAATATGTTCCTCCTGGCAGATGATGCAGAAATCATCTGATGAAAACAATCACATACGTTAGGTTATAAAATATTAAGACTTCTCATAAGTGTGGCTTGTATCCAAAGTTAAATAATGAATGTTAGTCTTTGGTCTGCACTTTCAAAAACACAAAAAAACTAAACTTTGCTGGGTTTAAAAATGATTCTTGTTTAAATGAAAAGTTTATCCTACTCAACCTCCTACCAACACTAGAAGACTTCAAGAAAACGTTTTAAAGTTTGACATCTTCTCACATCTTAAGACATTTCAGTGACAGAGTGGACACTTTGGTAGGGACCGGGTCTCTTGCAGGCTCAATGTTTATAAGATTACACCTTGATTTTTGTTTCGACTATTTCCGATCCTGCTTCTGGTACAACTTAACAAAAATGAAAATGAAGCAGATTTTAGCCTCGTCTGTGCAGTACTTTGTGTTATCTGCAGTGACTGAGGCTCTAAGGTTTGTTGGGTTAGCTTAAGAGATAACAAGCAGCAAGCTTAGTCTCAACTTTAAAATGCCCTAATTTGAATTTCCCTCGGGATCAATAAAGTATCTATCTATCTATCTATCTATCTATCTATCTATCTATCTATGTCTCCAGAGCTAATTGTTGCTACGCTAACAGCATTTCCTAAAAGTATGCCAGAGTCTAACTTCACTGTATAGCTTATGTTGGCAGAATAGGGTTAGGGTTTGCTGCTCTGTGTTTGATGCTGGAGGGACAAAGAAAGTATTTAATGGTTGATAAAAATATGAAGTTGTTTTTTTTCCACAAGCTGAAACTAAGGAGGTCAGATGATATCAAACATGTTTGATTTGAGCTAAACATCAGGACAGAAAAGAGACTGACCAAAGACGGATGCTACCGAGTTTTACAACAACATAATCCAAACAACGGGATGATCGGAGAGCACTACATATTAGAGGTGGGGGAAGAAATTTATGTAAAAAATCGAGATTCAAAACTTCCAAAAAATCAAAAAAGAAAATTGGCTAATCAGTCACTCCCTGCTTAGTGCTAAGGCTAGCTCTTTAACTCAGTAGGATGCCAAATGGAGCAGCAAGAAATTCAAAGACTTTGAATCCATGAATCCAGAATAGTTTTGAACTGAAAATATTCTGAATCGAATCGTGAGACACCCAAAGATTCCGAGCCCTACTATATGTTCAGCAAGTCTCAACTATTTCTATTCTGTCACTGAAGGATTGTCTGCAACAGTTAAAGAAACAGAAAAAAAGATCAGTGTAAATTCAGCATTACTGTAATCCGACTGTTGCTAATGACACCAATCAATCAGGCTTTAATCTCATGTAACCACCGTGTGTTTGTGAATGTGTATAACTATTATTTGTTAGTGTGCTTGTATATGTATCGTTGCAGGAAACCCCCTGACCTCAGTCTCAGTGGCTCCTCACAACTAAAATAAAGGATAAATAAGAAATACTATAGAATTTAACAGCAGGCTGCAGATACACGGTGAAGCGGTGACTCATTCAAGGAACTCTGGCTAATTTGGCTGCCGCCTCCATGTGGTTTCCATGGTGATCATTGTGATTCATGGAGTCATGTCTCATGACAATAACATGGAAAAATCAGTGGAGGTCGTAGAGACACCTGAATGTTTTTAACGCCCTGAGTATGTATTTAAAGGGAGATTAACCATTTTTAACCGTTGATTTCTTCTAACTAGTAAGATTTCCACTCGACTACTTTAAATAAAAACAATAAGCAGGATGTGTATGTAGCTTCCTGCTCGATTGCAAAGCTCAAAGCAGCAAGGTCACACTGCCCAACTTTACATAACTGTGACATGTAACATGACACACACACACACTCTAAAACACACACAAACACAGGATTGACTGTGTGTGTGTGTTAGCTTTAACTGAGATGTGAGGATGACAACTATACCAACAAATGATGCAGATTATAAACTCAAAATAAGAAAAATTATAAAGATTCTTCATATCGATTAGTCCTAAAGAGAGGATAACAAAATACAACAAATCTTAATAAGAGTTAGTGTTGGAAAGCGTAGCTACACTCCAGACATGTTTTGAATCAAAGGAGATGTGATTTTTTACAATTCAATTAAGTTTCTTCAACTTCGCTCTTCTGAAATTAGCTAAAGTTGCATGTTTTGCAGAACATATCCTCTTTTCTACCGTTTTGTAGGAAGCTTGGGGACTTCAATAACAATTGTCTCACTAATAAAAACAAACACATTTATGTTCTTGTGGAGGATTAGGATGGATTAATAGATGTTGCTTCCTAACACTTTTAAAAAACAACCCCAATATCCACCTGGTTTAAAGGTTATCACATGACTCCTGCCTGCCACAGTGTGACCTCTTATGTTGGACGCTAAAACTGCTTCGTCATGTGACAGAGCCTCAGGAAGCTAAAATTAACCTGACTGTCCTTTAGCACCAAGTTAAAATGTGTTGTTGGCGTCCCTGTAGAGAGATCACTGAAACACCACCAGTTTCATTAGGCCTGACGGGGGCGCTACCTCTCACCAGCTGTGCAGTGTGTCACCTTCAGGGATGCAGTTTCACAAAAAAATTCTGAGCTTTTGTGGTCGCTGGTGGCGCAGTGGTTAATGTGTGCGCCCCATGTATGGAGGCTATTGTCTTCCAAGCGGGCGACCCAGGTTCGAATCCAGGCCTGTGGCTCCTTTCCCACATGTCGTTCCCCTCTCTCTCTCTCTCTCCTGATTTCCTACTCTATCCCACTATCATATCTCTACAATAAAAAGGCACAAAAAGCCTAAAAATAAATCTTTATCAAACCTCACAGGCATTAAAGCCCAGGTACAACGATCTGATATTCATTTATCACTCTACTTTAACATGCAAGTATGTTTGCATTACATAATGTGCTTCTCTTCAATATGTTTTGTCCACCTGACATATTTAAGTTGAATACAATTTTACATTTCCCTAAGGCTGTTGGAATCTTAGGATAGAGAATAATCTAATGCAGATAAATCCCTGAAAGTATTTTTTGTACTTCTGAAAAGCAGATGTACATCATAACTGTGACATCATACATTGGTTTTTCGACAGCGGTTTAAAGCAGTTTACAGTTCATGACTTTGGCCATTGCCATGTTTTATTTGAGTCATTAGTGACCATATTTGAACAAGATTGTGGAGCTGGGGAGGTTAGAAAACACTGAGTCGCTAACTAATGCTAGTGCTAGCTTGGTTAACAAGGTGCAGTCATCATTCACTGTAAATGCCATATGGATTAGATGCAATTTCAAACTTTAATCACCCAAATAAAAGGAAGACGAACAAGAGAAGAACAGCTGCCTCCTTTCTGTCTTTGAGCACTTCTAAATGCAGAACAAGATATTTTTCAGGTTACCGTGGTTGTCATTGAAAAGGTTGCCATGCCTTATCACCAGAGTAAATCCCCTTTAAGTTTTCCAGACATGCACTGCCCCTTCCGACCAGCAGGGGGCTGCCACTGCTGCTTACCTTGTGAACACTCTTGGGGTCCTCCAACCAAGCGTAGTACATCTCCTCCACGTAGTTAGAGCTCGTCCCGTTCAGGAACGGCTCAGAGGCCACAGGTGCAGTGTAGCACCTGATTGGCTGAAACGTCCTTGAGCCACCTGTGGAGGCGACTGTGATTGGCCGTTGCTGGCCGACAGTCTGAGCCGCCTGTGAGGCAGTTAGCGGACGCAATCGCGCCGCACAAGTCCTTAAACGATGCATTAGCAGTCCTTAAAATGTCACACACACGGTGGCGGTGGTCAGGCCGACGGGCCGGACGTCCTCAACCTCAGAACGAAGAACAGATTAAAAAAAAATAATCACTCCAGCAGGGTCAGTCCCAGATCAGAGAGGAAGGAATCAAACATCCACTGTCCACTGGTTTATTTGTCCACTGAGAGGGGAGGGGGAGAGACACAGTGTTAGAGCTTGAATGAAGGTTGGTGTGTTCATGTTTCTAACACCAAGAACCTTGAACCTTAACAAGATCATAATAAACATGAACCTTTCACTCTTCATTCATGTGCAGAGAAAACCCCTGGATAAGTGCTGGTATTAAAACACAGGGGCTTAAAACAAAACGCTGCCAGAGAAAGACAAATGTTACAGAAAAAAAAGAGCAGGGGAACAAATATAATGCAAATTGACCTTCACAGTGCTGTAAGACCAAAGGTGAAGCTATTTCTTTTTCTAGAGTTAGACAGCTTGGGACCATTTGTGTTTCTTATCCATGGTAAATCACTAACATTAGCCCTTACAGATAAGATAACACTGCTGTGTGGGTTCATAACATCAACATGGAGACACACGGCAGCTTTCACCAGGAACTGTCTGGATTAACTTTACCGCTGCTTTCCGATACCTCAGGCTGATCAGATTTGCTTGTAGATTCTGTATGCATGACAAGTAAAACCTCTTGTATTTTTTTTTTTTTTTTAAATGGAGTTTGCATGAAACTTTTGTGATGTAACACATTGAGGTTGGGAAAATCCTAACGCTGCAAGGCTTTTACAAAAAACACATCATGTAAATATTTTAAGAGATATTCTGGTTTGGCAAATGACTTTGCATTTGATGACTGTGCGTGATACATTCCCCTTCCCCTCACAAGGCTTGTGACGTTAGTTTATTAGTACATGAATATAACAGAGAACATGCAGAGAAAGGGGAACACACGCAGTCTATTTTCCTCCAGTGACCAGCAGGCGATCAAAGTATTTTATTTGTTATATGGCAATGTTTTATACTTTCTCTTGTCCATGAATATAAATATTCAGAATTAGTACTAATGACAATACACCTTACAAGGTAGAATTACTGATATTTTAGCTACAGCTTGCTCAAACAGTATCAGGCAGACTCACACTTGAGGTCACAGTGTTTGTCTGCAGTCTGAGAACCTGCCAACTGTTTCTCCCTTTTCAACGTATTGTCAGATTTACGCTCAATCTGTACCTCAAGGAGACTAACGCAGGAAACACATTAAGGGGTAAGGCTGTCAAAATGTCAATACTGCTTTAAAACGATCCTTGTTATTCTAATGACGGGACGTACTTAAAAATAACTACACAAGACATGTGCGTAGGAGAGGAATGAGTGCATTGAAATAGCAAGAAAACTAATGGTGGCCAATGTTTTTGTGCAATTTAGACAGTGTGCATGAGTTGCCTGCAATGTTTGGTAATCAACAAGAAACTAAACTGGTTAGATTTTTATTTGCAACATATCAGAGTTCAATTCTGATATGGCGGGGCGGCAGTAGCTCAGTCTGTAGGATCTGTAGGGTACCAGTGGGTCACCATGCGGACCAAGTAGGAAGTTAGTCTGATAACGGAAGAGGTGCAAAGTGATTTCCTGAGTACTGCCTAGGTGCCCTTGAGCAAGGCACCGAACCCCAAACAGCTCTGGTGCGCTCCCTGTGAAGCAGCCCAACTCTGACTTCTCTTCATCAATGCCTGTGCACAGGTCCTGTTTGTGCATGTGTGTTATTCGGGCCTATATGTGTGAGAAGCATGACTTTAAATAACAGTGTACACGACATTTAATAAATAAAGAATGTAAAAAAAAAAAAAAAAAAAGTTTAGAAAATAATTTCAGAATATTTTTAGTTAAATATCAAAAATATAATAGAAGTTATTTCCAGGCTGCTTGGACTTCTTCTTCTGTCTCAGCTGGAGCTTCTGCGTCTGTGTTTTGACCTTGTTGGGTCCCCACTCCCTGCCTGCCATAGTCCTTCCCGCACCCCGGCCTGAACACGCCCACCACCTGCTCGATCAGCCTCCTGATTGGCTCTCCGAGGGAAACCCCGCCCGGACATAGGACTACCAAAGCTTTGTCATTGGCTACGCTACGTGTCCGTCACTTTGTCCTTTCACGAGTCATGAGTTCCTGAAATGTACTCGCTGCTTCATCAAAACATGGTAAAATAACGTTCTGTAAATGTTTAAAATGTTATAAAACAAACGAAAGCGCCTCAGATTGTGAAAGCTCACCCTGCACCAACTGGATATATAGTTAGCTAATTGCTAAGCAGTTATGTAATTAGCCGGTTAGCTTCTACATCTGACTCTGTTAGTGACCATCAGCGCGTTTTACTTGCAGCTATATGACTGCGTATTGAGTTAACTCAAACACCAGTTTAAATGTTAACACCATGTTTATGTCTTATATTGAGTAAAGCATCATTTCGCTGCTCTGACAGATGATCTGTTTGTCAGTTAGCACGCAGCTAACATGCTAACAGGTTTTGTCTCTCAAAAATTCCTCAACACTGATTTTTTTCTTCTCTTAAATCTGAAGCTGTGATCGAGCCTACGTGATAAACAGCACATCAAACATGTTCTCTGTTGACATTCAGATGCTACGAGATAATAAAGTCCTGGTTACTGACCTCGATAAACGAGTTACAGCGGCTCCCCTCTCGGCCGGGTATCCAGGATGCCCTTCGTCTCTCCCGGTAAAATGATGACAGCTCGGGGTGCGGAGCGTGGACGTGAGGCCTGGGTGGAAGTGACGCAGCAGCGACGTCATGACGCAAAGAACATGAGGGTTTTTTTTTTTGTTTGTTTTTACACGGGAACAAGTTAATTCAAACATGATCAAGATTAGGGGGGATTATATATATAAAACAATAAAAATAAAATAATAATAATAATAATAAAAATTTCCAAAAGTAAACATCAGGCAAATGTAAGCAGACAACAAACTGAAAAAAAAAAAAAAAAATTCAACAAGGGCCAGAAATAATAGCAAGAATTTCGATAAATCAGCACTAAATCTTTTTAGCAATCCTGCTAGATTTCATTTTTTTCAAAGATAAGAAAAAATATTTGAAATCATTTATAAACCAGTCAAAGGAAGGTTTGCTGTTTCTCCACTTACTACACTGAATATGATATTTACTCATGAGTAAAATAACATTTACCATGTCAGTAATTGAAGGGTTTAAATTATCCAGAAAATAGAGAATACTATAAGTATCAAAAGATGGAATATCATTAATTTTTTAGTGACAACCAACTTCTAATGTCGACCCAAAATCTTTGAGACACAGGACAGAATACAAACAAGTGCTCTAAAGCACAAGGGTTCACATCAAAATTAAGCCTTTTGAGAAATGCAGCAGTTGGATAAATCTGGTGAATCATTTTAAAATGGGTTTCTTTCACTTTACGGGAAAACAGACATCTTAATATATTTGGAATGTGCTTTAGTCAGAACAGAAAGCTCAATTAACTCTGGGAACTTAGTATGCAGCCCTCTGTGGTAATCATGGAAAAATCTAGATTTCAGGATAGAACATGGGGGGGGGGGGGGGTGTAAACTGTATAGGCCTACTTTCTTTTCACCACATCATTATCCTATTTGTACGGAGCCCCCTGAAGTCCCAAGTTATTATCTTTTGCGCAAAAGACAGTATCTTTATTTGTATCATATCAGAGTTAAATTAGCACGTCATAGTTTTTGTGATCATGGAGTTAAGACCGACCATTTTCACATCTTCTGGAAGCACAGAGTAATTCAGCCTTGCAGGAGGTGAAACATGCAATGCAAAATTTTTTTGTTGTGAGTGATTTTTCTTTCTCAACTTGGCTATGTATCGAGGCAACATTGCAGCTCACTCTTTGTGCAGGATAAATATCTAATAAAGATTCTGTGAGCAGCCAGCTAATAAGCAGCAACACGAAAATTGAAGTTCAAACTCCAAGACTGACTGGATAAGTCATTGTGACTGAAACTAAAGGTTTGGGACTTTCTCACTCAATCTGAGGGCAGGGACATTTCTGTGATATTGGGGGAAATGGGGTTGTGTTTTTTACATGGAGAAGTAGGAGGTTCCTGGTTCGAATCCAACTCAGACAGGAGCTTTCTGTGTGGAGTTTGCATGTTCTCCCTGTGCATGCGTGGGTCTTCTCCAGGTACTCCGGCTTCCTCCCACAGTCCAAAGACATGCTTGTAAGGTTAACTGGTGTCTCTAAATTGCCCGTGTGAATGTGAGTGTGGCTGGTTGTCTGTCTCTATATGTCAGTCCTGTGATTGACTGGTACCCCGCCTCTTGCCCAATGACAGCTGGGATCCGCTAAAGCCCGAGGTTGAATCTGAATTCTTGAGAAACTAAAGCGGTCAGATATATGTAATGCAGTAAAAGGTCAAAGTCTCTTCATCAAAAGAATGAATCAGCCGTACGAGGTTTCACATGACACAGCAATATTTAATAATTCAATTCTGTTGAAAGGTTTTTTGCGTTACCACAGATAACATGTTTACATTTGCAAAGAAAAAAAAAGATAAAACAAAAATCCTATATAAAATCATTTATTAAAATAGAAAAAGGTGATGAGATTCTCTGTGTAACCATGGCAACGCCTGTCTATCAATCAGACATGCCGTGGTACACATACAGTACACACAGGTTGAGCATAAATATATCTGCAATCTGGAGGTTTCCTTTTAATCCTGACTTTCCTGCCCTGAGTTTGACCTCTCAGGCTGTTTTCACAACATGGATGTAGTGTTATAATCAAGACCACACTAATCGAGAGCAAGACGTACCCGAGACCAGAGTGCCCCGTTAACGCAAACCTGATCGTTTGTGTCATATCCAGATCTTAATAATACATCCATGTTGTACATCCTTATCTACCTGTAGTTTGCGGCCTCCTGCCTGACAGACTGAACTCAGGGCATCTCTGCTGTGGAGTCGGTTTCCTCACAAGTTATCTTCCACCTTCAAACCATTAGCTGAATACAAACGAGACATCTGCAGTGTAAAGGAGCAGTCTGGCAATATTTTATATATTGTTAAAAACGAATCTTATGTGCAGACCCAAACAACATCGTGTGAGTAATGTAGAAGGAAACTCCTGCGCTTCAGCTGCTCCACAAATGGAGGTCGGTGCTCTAAAGAGAGGGACCTTAGACATTTTAAATATAATTCAGTGGACTCCTTCACACGGGCAGGAGCCAAAGAAAGTCCTGGAGCAGAGAGGCAAATGCATTATGGTGCAAAGAAATTTGCGCCAAATAAAATTTGCATGAGGTGATTCATGTGCTCCGAACTTTCTTTGGATCCTGCCTGAGAGAAGGAGTCCACTGAATTATAGGTTGAATGTGTGAGTGTTGTCATGATACCAGGACTTTAATCTTTGATACGATACCAGTAAAACTTGTTTTTAATACCACGGCAACAAAAATAGAAGTCCTAGGCAGCAAATAGTGGTTCATTTCTTGTTTTAAATAATCAAAAATGGCAGCTAACCTCCTGCACAATGTCTAGATTAGGCAGAGTTCAAAAGTTTTCCTGCAATTTTCAATGGATTGATTCCTCTCCTTTGTGCACCTGTCCAATGAAATATGTATATTTTTTAAGCTTCTGTCCATTTTGATAAAATCAATCATTAAAATAACTGAGATTGTATCGTTTAAAGACATCAGAAATATCAGAGTATCACAAATTCTGACGACTTCACATCTTTCAATGGTGTCTGACCGCTCGTCTGTGGCTCTCAGCTTTAATGCCCACAGCAGTGTTAGTTTGATCTGCACATGGGATTTGCTGATTTTAAGGAAAATGTGGAATTTCTCCAGACTTATTCAGGCTTTAACATCAGCAGCAGCAGAAACCTTTGGCTGGCTGTAACTCGATGCTCTTGTCAGTCTTGTGTCAGATGTCTTGTGAGCTCCGGCCCCAGCTGCTCTCAGTCTCTAAATAACCTCAGACCGAACAGTCTGTCCTCCAGAGTTCTCTTTTCTTTAAAGAATAACAATGTTGGGGAAACACTGATTTATAATTTTTGGCATGAAAATGATCAAATGGCACAGAGTTAGCCCTATAAGATACTTAAATCCTCAGTCGATTCCTCATGTTCAATGATTTCTGTGCAAAAAACACCCCACACCTCTAATTTAAAATATACTAAAGGAGATAAAAAAAACAAAAAAACATGACGTTCTCCTCTCACACGCAGTGCATCCAGGTTCAATAACTGCAGGGTGCTGTTCACTGGCTAAAAATGCTAGCAATGCTAACAGTCCATGAACAGCAAAAGAAGCCAGGTCCAACAGAAACATTTGGTTTTCTTGGTGAGTAAAAATCCCTGGATCACTCCTGGTGTCGAGTGACTTTGATGCTGGTTGCCAAGCAAAGAGGGAAGTTTAACGTCCTGAATGTCACCTTACTTGTCTGTGCTGCTGCAACGCCTGAATGTCCCCTCTGGGGATCAATAAAGTACTATCCTATGTCGTGCATGTTTAGAGAAGTTTGTTCAGTTTCTCACATTCAGGTCACGTTGGTGTGCAGAGTCTGGATGCTTTCAGGACTTTAGAGCAGATGTTCCATGTAGCTGAGAGTTGAACGGATCATTTCCACCTTTAGTCACTTCAACACTGTAACAGATTTTCTTCTAAGAGCAGCAGTTTAAACATCATTTGAACGCCCAACCCCCCATAAGTACCCAGGGGATTTCCGTCCAGCCTGGTGGCAAAGAGGCCGACCAAAACCTGCAAAACAGCAACTCAGACCTACTTGAGTTGATTTCTATATTTCCCATAAGGCCTCTTACCAACCTTCTAATGAAAGCTGTGGGCCGGTGATACATCATTAAGGTTTAACAGTGTTGAAGTCTCTCAGGGGAGAGTTTCTTTGTGGTAAAAAATAAGAGATGAGCGCGTTCATTCCCTGCAGAGACGTCAGCCAGCAGAACCAAAAGCATCAAAGTACCACAGATCCAGAGCAGAGAGAGTTCTGCACTCACACGTTGTTGCATACTGTGTTTTTACAATTCTGCAGAAAGAGAGAGAGAGAGAGAGTGCCGGGGCGAACAAGGTGATGGAGATCAAGCGCACCCGCACACAGCAGCCGGGGTGCGTTACATTCCTGTGACAGTGCTGAGCAGAAGAAAGTGCAATCCAGACGGCACCAGTGCTTTCATCCAGAGACAGAAAGAAAGAAAGTAAGAAACAGGTGTGCAAGCCCCGCCTCCAGGGACCTCTGTCCTAAAACCAGCCAATCAGAGTGAAGCTCCTCTGAGCAGAATGCATTTGTTCATTACAGCGCTGAGTTAGCCTTGACATATTTACAACCCTTTCAGCTGGATTTTAGCCCAGCTCACGTTCCCTATCAGTGGGTGAACGATCCAACGTTTGGTGAATTCTGGTTCACAATGACAGGAAGAGCCGACATCGAAGGATCAAAAGAGACGTCACTATGAACGCCACAAGCCAGTTATCCCTGTGGTTACTTTTTCTGACACCTCCTGCTTAAAACCCACAAAGTCAGAAGGATCGTGAAGCCTCGCTTTCACGGTCTGTATTCATACTGAGAATGAAGCCCTTCTGCTCCACGGGAGGTTTCTGTCCTCCCTGAGCTCGCCTTGGGACACCTGTGTTACCCTTTGACGGGTGTACCGCCCCAGTCAAACTCCCCACCTGCCACTTTTCCCTGGAGCGGGTCACGCCCGGGCTGGGCCGAGCGCATGACAACAGAAGCGAGAGCCACCTCAGGGCTCTTCTCTTGGCTGTGGCTGTATGTAGGGACAGTGGGAATCTCGTTCATCCATTCATGCGCGTCACTAATTAGATGACCAGGCATTTGGCTACCTTGAGACATGTTTACATTTCCATTGACAAAATCTTATTGGTTAGCAAACTAGCAATAGTGATCATTTACAGTAAAATGTTATTTTGGGAAAGTTGCAGCTAACCAGCATTAGCTATGGCTGTGCACCTTTAACTCCTGTTTGCCCCCACAGGTGAGCCAGTGAGATAAATGGCTTGGTCGTATTTTGATTAAGAGGACGGGGGAGTGAAATGAAACATCTTTTCACAGCAGAGATAAAAACATGTCTGAGGCTGATTCATTCTTTGCGTTTGGGCTTCACTGTAAATATGTCTTCTGTAAATATGATTGGCTGGTTTGGTGACAGATAGTCACTGTGTCGCCTGTAGACGTAGAGATTTGCACTTCAAATAAAGAAAGAAAAAAAGGACAGACTGCAGAGAACAGTTGCTGCTTCAGTTCAGTGCCGCAGTGTTCCTGTTTGTTTGCGTAGATTTCCCCGTCCAGTGGCGTTGTCCGGATCTTAGACCGGCAGTCTTGGCTCCAGGAATTATGTCCTGGCTCATTCTAGATAACCAGCACTGAGTGAGTAGGTACTGAGGTGGAGTAAAAAGAGGAGAAGAATCGGAGGAAGAGGAGGGGGGGTGTCACCCAGGTGTGGTGGGTGGGCGGGGCCCATCACATTGGTTAAACAGGGGGAGCAGGGGCGGGTCTTTGAGGCACCAGAGGCTGGGCTGCAGCAGAAGGTTTCGGTTTTCTGAAAGAAAAAGAAAAGTGAACAATGAACTCCAATGTCTCCTCTACATTCACACACCTGATAAAATAAGAATAAGTAGGAATTCTGTGAGGAGCAGTCAGCGCCAAACGAAGGTCAACGGCACTGTTTTAAAATACACAGAGCTGTTGTTTTTGTTGGCAATCCTCACTCTTTGCCGCTGTAACAATGTACATTTCTCCGTTGTGGGATGAATATCTTATCTTACTACGACGTGATGATGTACGTAAAGAGGTAACAGTACTCAGGCCAATGGAGCAATGTGGGTACAGGAGCCGGGGAGGGGGGACAATCATATATCAGCAGGGTGGGGGCAACTGGGCCTAGTGTGAGTGCACCCTACGGTTAGTGTTTGCAGCATCAGAGCAGTGAGATATACAGGGGGGAGTCGGTTCTTACACTGGAGGAGGAGGAGGCCTCAAAGAGTAGGACGGAGCAGTCCTGCTGGTCTCCACCACCTGAAAACACACACAAATAAACACACACAAATAAACACACATAAATAAACACACAAATAAACACAAATAAAAAGTGTTGTCACTTCTTCATCTGTAACTTTATATTTCTCTTTATTGTATCTACATGTATGATGGACTGTTTCAAACCATAGTGTAACTTTAACTCACCGTAATGAGACTCTCTTCGTTAACGATCATTATTAATGCAACACAAAGTAATGATTTCTAATAACTCAAAGATGTGAAGTCTATTCCTCACGTTGAGTAACTGAATATTTTTAAAACCATTAAAAAAACAGATGAAGTGTAAAAAATCTCTTCAAATAAAAGAAACTTCACAGAAGAGAGCAGCAGCAGTATGATGACACATTATTTAGTAAAGTTGCAGTAGTATTATTAAAGATGATTTTAGTAGAAGAGGTGACAGAAGTGTTCTCACAGAGCGAGTATTAAAGGTGTTTTTTTTTACCTCCTGTGGTGGCAGGAGCTGAGTGTGGTTCTTCAAACAGAGAGAGAGCAGAAGATGTAACGACTTATTAATACTGATTAGTTCACACACACAGACACACACGCACGCACGCACGCACGCACGCACGCACGCACGCACGCACGCACGCACGCACGCACGCACGCACGCACGCACGCACGCACGCAGTATAGTGTAAACTCACCCCGTCTCTGACATAGTTGTTTCCGTTGCCCCGGGGAACAGATGGAGGCTGCACTCTTGGAGGCGGTCCTCTGCTGGGATTGGCCGAAGCTGCACCGTCAGCCCTATTAGACACGAGGTCGGTTAAAGCAAAATTTAGTGTCTTACTGCGATCAGAGTGCATTTGAACGCAGCACAGGGGACAGTTTAGCATAGCAGTCGGTAGTTTGAGTGTCCCTGAACATAGCACAGTGGACAGTGTGAGAGCAGCTTTCATGGGGCCCTTGAATGCAGCACAGGGGGGACAGTTTTTCAACAATTGTGAGAGTGTACTTGAATGCAGCACAAGAGACAGTTCTAGAGCAGATTGTAAGAAGAGGAATGTTTTTTAGGAGTTGTCAGAGGGTTAGTGAATGCAGCACAAGGGTCAGTTTTAAAGCTTCTGACAAAGTGTCCTTGAACGCAGCACAAGGGACAGTTCTAGGGCAGATTGTAAGGATGTCCTTGAATGCAGCATGGAGGACAGTTTTATAGGAGTGGTCAGAGGGTCAGTGAACCCAGCACAAAGGTCACATGATACACAAGTTGTCCTTGAATGCAGCACAGAGGACAGTAGAGAGCATTGAGAGCAGCTGTCTCTCCGTCTAAAATGATTATTAATAGAAAAAACTCGGCCTCTGCTGTCAGCTGCTGCCGACTGCCTCAACTCAGGAAATGAAGGAAATCAGAGCTCATGTAATGAACAGCATTTTCAAAATTAAACTGGTAAGCTTTCCTCACTTCCATGAGCACGTCTTAAAGGCATAATCTGCGACATTCTGGATATTAATATCACAAAAATCAAATATACCCTTTGTACATTTATTGTGGAGTGAAAAGTGAGCAAAGTCAAACTCCCCCTGGATTTATTTTTCTCCGCTCTGTGTTCATGTGGACGGCATATCCTACAGCTTGTTTATGTTTCACTCAGAGGCTCCAACGTGTTTCACACATATTTTAATCGAGTGAGCCCCTCCCTCTCCAACCGTTAGCCCTCCCATCACGAGGGGGGGAGAACGACTGTGTCTATAACTGAGAGAGAACCAAGAAACAAAATACTTTCTATGGTCTAAAAAGACAAACGGATCAAATAGAATACATTTTAGACAATCGTCACTTGAAATTGGATTTCAGATCTTATTAGAACTCGTCTGCTGCTGACTCTGCCTCACAGAAACCTGAAAGTGAAACAGGACAGGAGGGGCGGGGGACGGGGGACGCATGGAGACAGGAGGGGCGGGGGACGCTGAGGGAAGAAGGAAGTGTGTCTGACGGGGACATTTGTTAAGGTCTGACAATCTGCTCTGACAGTCTCATAGTAATACTGTGTTAATAATGTGTTTTGAAGCAACATGTCTTGGTGTTAAGATCACCAGCATGTCTCCTTTGTGAACTCACTGGTATCCTTGCGATCTCTTCCTTCGGCTCACTCCGAATCGCCGCAGCAGCTCTTTTCTGCGCAGGAAAGCAAACGCGCCCAGACCGAGCAGAGGAAGAATGAAGAAGAAGAAGACCAACAGACCGTCCCTGAGAGACGTGTCCTTATCTGTGGAGGACGGACGGAAAAAAAGTTTACATTACAGCTAACAAATCAACCAAAACACAACGTTACTACAACATATAGCATATTATTTTGCAGAATGTGACCTTTCAAAAGATTGCAAAATATGTGTCTGACGTGGTCAGATAAGTATCAACAATAAGAATGTAATTAATAGTTTTATTACAATAAACAGGTGAGGATTGGGGGGCCTGATGGCCTAGTGGTAAGGTGGCGCCCCATGTACTGAGGCTATAGGGCTCTCGCTCCTAAAGTCTGACATATCTTCATCTTTCCCCACTCACACTCTGATCTTCCGACTCTATCCTGAACAACAAAATCCTGAAAATAAATCTAAAAAAAACAAAAATAGAGAGGAGGCTACCGTTCCAGGTGGGTCCGCTGTCCACGCTGCCACCATAACCTTTGAGCTCACAGAAAGGAGCTTCCCAGCCGTCGTCACAGTGACAGTTCTTATTGCTGTTACACCTCTGAGAGACAGACAGAGAGACAGACAGAGAGAGAGACAGACAGACAGAGAGAGAGAGAGAGAGAGAGAGACAGACAGAGAGAGAGAGAGAGAGACAGACAGAGAGAGAGACAGACAGACAGACAGACAGACGGACAGACAGACGCACGCACGCACGCACGCACGCACAGGTTAGTTTATGATGTCCTGATTATCTTCACAGTGAGGCAAACAGGTAAACAGACAGACAGGTGAACGTGTCTCACCCCGTGTCCGTTACATTTCTTCTCTACGTCACAGTCGTAGTTCAGGATGTCGGCGCTGCGACACTCAAAGTTCATACAGACCTGAACACCAGAGAAGAAGAACAAGCGTCAACATATCTTCTGATCTCTTTCTATTATCATCCTCTTTTCTTTCCTCTCCTCCTTCTCACCTTGTTGTCTCCACACTTGGTTCCCTCGTTCACCATGCCCGGATCGGGGACGTCTGATCCCAGCATGAAGTCCACTCCGTAACATTTGCCTCCGGTGATCGGCGTGCTGATGATCGACGGTTCGATGCCGAACACGGTCACCGCCTGAACATTAGAGCACTGCAGCTTCCCGCACAGAGCGTTTCTATGGAGACAGGCAGAAGCGTAATATCATCAGTGCCAAGTGAATATACAGATCAGATCGGGAGGCTGTGGAAAGCTGTTTGAGGAATCATTTCATGGCCACAAAATAATTTATTTTTTTATCAACCCTGCTGTGTACCTCATCTACAAAGTCACTGTATGGATACAGCAACCAAACATATAAAAAACAAACGTGTGTGTGTGTGTTTGTTACCTGCTCTCACACTTCTTGTAGCCGTAGTTGTGGTAGCCACAGTTGCCGAAGCGATCTCCTTTACTGTTGACATCTTTAAAACAGATTTCAGGAGCCGCCTTCGCCTCTGAGGAAGAGGAGGAGGAGAGGGACTCGGGTTACTTCCTGAACATCTCAATGAAAACAGTCGTACATCAATATAGCAAAATGTATTCATCAAACTCGTCATCCAGATGCTTCAGATATACAGAAAGAGGCTCTTAAAGACAGATTTTGTGGCAGTAACCTATTTATTGACCCTGTTATTCTGTTTTATTTAAACCGATCACGTTGATTTTTGTCTCTTCATGTTCCTAAATACTCTCACTTTGCCTCTCCCAGGATGTACAGTAAAAGTGGTTCATTAACCTTAAAGGAGCAAAATGTAACTCTGACATCTTTCTGCGTTCTAACCTCTCTCCATTTTTCAAAAGCATCTCCAATATTGATCCTAGTTGAGCACGTTTCTGCTCGTGGAGCTTATTAGAAACATGCAGAGGCTTTTTAGGTCGGGTACAATCACTTCTATCTGAACCTCTTCTCTGTCCCGCTTCCATCACTGCAACACCTGTTGACCTGATAACTGCTCTCATATCTGGCAAACCGAGGGGCGTCCAAAACGGCCGTGTGGGGGGTCGCCTTAAAAGCGCCTACCTTCTCTGGTCCAAACAAATCCAGAGCATTCAGGACCAGAATCTAAAGTTAGAAGGAGGACATACTGACTGCTGCATTGTTGTCAGAGAAGCCAGCACTTCAACATAGCATGTTTCCTTAATGTCTGATCAGATAGTAAGATCACTTTATCATTTCACTCACTACACATCTCACTGGTTGGTCCTTCAAAGAATCTGAAGACAGGAGTGTACGTAAAAATACTACTTTGTGACTTTAGTAAGGAACCATCTTATCACATAACTTTATTATATATCTGACCCGAGATGGAGTGAAAGAAGCAGCAGTCAGTTTCTTGTTTACAGTAAACAACAGATGAAACATAAGCTTCATGGAACATGCAGTCAGACAGAGTTTAGAGTTTAAACATGCAGGAGGATGTAACATACTGGAGCCGAATATGGCCTGACACTGTCCGTCATAGTGCCGACACTTCCCGTTGTAACAGTAAGCCTGCTGGTTCTTACACAGCTGCCCGTTCTGAAACACACACATAACAAACAGAGGAAAGTAAAAGACTGTCAGTCAATGATATCTGTGAGCTGAGACTGTGGCGCCCCCCTGTGGCAGCTCAGTGTGGAATAGAATAGAGAAATATTTTTATTTGTCCAAAATGAGGAAAATTGTCTTTTGCTTCACAAGAACAAAATCAAAAAACATGATGATAAACAAGACAACATTTGAGAACAGTAAGAGATCAGAAGAGCGCTTAACCACATCACAGTCGACTTGGTTTCTAAGTAGAAAACAATATTTGAAGAACACCCGTCAGGTCATTATATAAACAGGCACTGATAATAATGGATCAGAAAGCAGTCATATGGCACCATTGTCTCATTCTAAAGAAACACGATATATTGTGTTTTGACAGTTTTGTAAACTTTTCTTTTTTAAATCTGATTTTTAAATGTGTAAATAACCTCTCTCCAAAAACAATAAAAAAATCATTTTTTATAAACATTTCTTGTGGCAGTCTGAGCTGCTGACCTGATGGAGGCGCTTCAAATTGGCAGTACAGTGTTTGAGAGGGGCCGCTTGTTGTGTTGAGTGCTTTCTTTGTAGTGTTCAGTATCCGCCCGTCTCAAGGTGACATCTGTGGTTTCCTTATGATTCTACAGTCTGCTTTGACCACTCTTACACATCTGACATCTAAGTGTCCGTACCAGATTCTTGTAAATCATTTCAATAATTTCACCTGTATGAAGACGTCACTCTGACAGAGGGACGAGGAGCCGTTACAGTACTCAGGGAGATCACACTCGTCTGTACTTGACCGACACACTGTTCCACCTGGCAGGTACTGGAAACACAGAAAACCAAGATGAAATATTTGTCATTTTTAGAAGCGTTTCACATTCAAGTCTTCTCTCTTTTCAAAGTAACCAGACTCAGTCGTTTTACCAGCAGGAGCGTGGGAGTTACTCGTCTACCTCTGCGTTGAACATTTGGCTTTTTTGATGCACAAATATTGTGATGGACCTGAACTCTTACTTTAAACCATCAAAGTGACATCAGATCAGATCAAACTAAGTGATTAATGCAGCGGCCGACCAGCTACCCCTGTGTTCTTAAGGCTAAAAATAGTGTTTTTGTTGATGCGAGTCTGTGGGATTTGGAGAGATTGATGTAATGGTTGCTTGTGGTTAAAAAAAAATCCTCTTTTACAAAAATGTCTATCTCTGCAGGAAACCTTTCTGCAAAGTTGTCTGAATAAAAACAATCATCATGGACTGTATGCAGCTGCTGTCTGAAGATATCTACTCATAAACTTTCTAGACCTACTCGTCATTAACACCCCAAAAGATTTGTAAAAACAGTGTCCACGTTTACAAAAATGCTGGAAGTCCCCTTTAAGCTGACTGGGCTCTCTGGGCTAACTGGAAGTGGGGGTCAAAGGTCAGACTGTTGTGTTTACCTGACACTTGGAGCAGCACTCTCCGTAAGCACACTGAGCTCCAGGCTTCAGCTTACAGGTCTTATACTCACAGCAGGGGTCCTCCTCACACTCCTGAAACACACACGTTCACACATACAGATACAGGTATTAATTAAGCAGAGACATTCAGTGTTGAAAAATGAAGCAAATATCAAAGTGCGTAACAAAAGAAAACCACAGTTCCTCCAGTGTCCACTAGAGGCTCTCTCTAAAACTTGGGGAATCCCAATTAGAACCCAAATTTGGATCTGACAGGCATATAGATATTCTTCCTACAGACCTTCTGTGACCCACAGTCGCACTCCTCCCCCATGTCCACCAGTCTGTTTCCACAGTAGGGGGCGCTGTAGGCCTCATCGGGGCGAGGGACGTTCAGGAGACACGTTCCTCCCGTCAACAAAATCATCTTCTCAAAGTCGTCTGCACTACAGCTGCTGAAGTTCCTGGATCCTCTGCAGAGAGGAGACGAGAGAGTACATTTTAAGAGTGTCTTTTTAATATGTAGATTCAGGGATTTATTTACTTATTGAGCAAACGTTTGAACAGTTTACACTTTGATCTACTTCATTTTTAAATAAATGTTTTCACTGTATGTTAAACTTTGCTTTCATAAAACTTTTAAAAACTTCCTGGCAGTAAGATCAATTAAATTAAATTTAAAAAAGAACGATAGAGAAGGAACTGAGGAGGGTATGAGAGAGGAGGAGCAGAGATGGAACATGGTGTTAGAGAAAGTGGAGAAGAAAAGAGGAGAGGGAGGAAAAGAAGAGGAGGAGGAGGAGGAGGAGGAGGAGGAGGGGGGGATTAGAGATGAGGAAAGGAAAAGGAGAGATGAAAAAGAGGAGAGAGAGAGATTACAAAAGGTGTAAAGTTGGAGAGAAAGAGCAGGAGGACAGGTGGAGTGAGGAGATGATAATAAAAGAGTAGGTGGAGGATAAGAGATGGGGGAAAAGAGGAGAAGGAAAAAGGAGGAGAGAGGACAGGAAGAAAAATGAGACATGAAGGAGGGTATCGAGAGAAAAGGAAGATGAGAAGGAGGAGAAAAGAAAATGCTGAAGACAAAAGGAGGTGTATGAGTAGATAAAGAACAGAAAAGAGTTAAAGGAAAATATTTAAGGAGAAAGAGGAGTAAAGGAGGAAGGAAAAGGAGGAGACGATAAAGAACAGATGGGGGGGAGGAGTAAAAAGGGGATCTGGAACATGTGTTGTAATGTGTGTGTGTTTTAATTTGTGTGTGTGCTTCAGTGCCCTCCTTACGTGGCTCCAGAGTTCATGATGCAGGCGGGGACTGGGCATGTGCAGGAGCGCCCGTCGTCGTGGTTCATGCCGAGGTTGTGACCGAGCTCATGAGCCACGATGGAGGCGAACGAGGGGATGTTGTTGTTGGTGAACTGAAGGAGTAAAATTAAGATGAAAATATGAACAGAAAGAAATATGAAAGGTTTTTACAGCCTTTGGATTAAAAGAAAAGAAAACGCACTCCCTGAACTTCTGGACCATCTTTTTCTAAAACAGTTTGTTTATCTTTAAATATGAGAACATGACAAACTTTACACTTATGGAATGTAAACTTTTGATGTTGCAGTGCTTTCACACTTCTCGTAAAACACTCCTGAAGTTGAGCTGTATGAGTGAACAGAGTTTCTCCTGCCAGCCCCCTAGTATTTTTTTTTTGCAGAAAGTCTGAGTGGGCTGATGTGAGAAAACAGCTGGATATAATCAGGAGAAACCCCCCCCCTCTCCTTCCTGTCTGACAGGGATCGTCTCCCGCTGTGAGGTACTTATGTGAACAACCAGATCAGCAGGATTTCAGGGGAAGTTCTCTTGAAATTCTCTGGAATATTCAGGAGAAAGCAGCTTTAGTAATGTTTAGATCAACTAGAGAAAAGTCGTCTGAACAACCAATAAGCTGCTTGTGAAGAGAAAGAGAGGTGTATCAGCCAATAAGAGGAGAGAGCAGAGCAGTTTACCGCATTGATCCGGCCCCCGTGGCTCCTGGAGCAGACTGTGGAGACGAAGGCCATCCCTGCTGTTCCTCCAAAAGCCTTCTTCCTGCAGTGACATCATCATCATAACCATCATCCCTTTTAATTATCAACAACACTCATGTTTCACTTTAAGTGTTTCTATACTGACAGGATGAGTTGTGCCGAGTCGTGGCGGCGACGGCTGACCAGCTCTTTCTCTCTCCACTGGGTGAAGCGACTCAGGACTTCTCCGGCTCCTCCGTCGGTGCTGATCGGGTTCTGCTGAGTCCAGATCTCCAGACCGACCAGGACCACTCGAACGTTCAGCTGAATGTAGATCTGAACACAAAGAAATTATAATTATCTCTACGGCCTTTAAAATGTCTCCTCAGTTTTTAGTTTTGGTCTGTTGGTTAGATAGTTTATTTTTAATTGTATTTAAGTAGGGTTAGGGTTCTTTTACTCCAATGCAGGTTTTTTCCTTGAAGCTGAGAACATTAATACAACAGTTACAGTGTTCATGTTTGATTTACTCACGCTGTCGATAAAGTTTGCCAGATGAACCATCTCGTCCCTCACTGCGGTCTCGTTTCTGTTCATATAATTATACTGAAAGAAAAAAGAAAGACAAGTTGAGACCAAACATCAAACACAGAATACTTTATTAAAAAGATGCCAATATTTTGAAAAGTCTTTTGGATTCAGACGCTTCAGATGAATCTGTTTCATCTCTGGGGAGGAGCAATTAGCCTAGCTTAGCACAAACACTGAAAGTAGTGGGAAACGGCTAGCCTAGCTCCTTTAAAAAACACTTTCAACGACTCCAATTTATATGCTCACATCTTCTTCTCTGCAAACCATTAAACGTGTGACAACCAATGACTTTGTAACTTTATCTCAGAACAAGTTAAGAGCAGAGACTTCAAACTGTTAACTTATGGTGCTTTCCATTTGACCTCTGAGTTGCTAGTCTGAAACATCTTCAAGAACGCCGTCCTTAAGGGGCGCTGGTGGCGCAGTGGTTAGTGTGCGCGAGCCCCAGCGCCCAGCTCTATCCACTGTCCTATCTCTCCATTAAAGCAAGCCCAAAAATAAATCTTAAAAAAAAAGAACGATGCCCTGAAGTCGGACTTGGAACTTCTGTCTGTGTGTGTGTGTGTGTGTGTGTGTGTGTGTGTGTGTGTGTGTGTGTGTGTGTTACCCTGTCATTGTCGACCACCAGCAGCAGCTCCACATAATGAGTCTGATGAAGAATAGCTCGCTTCATCTGGAACAAAAAAAACAAAACAGGTAATTTAATCATAATATTCATTAATGAAATGACCATATTAACAAGATGGTATGTGTGTGTGTGTGTGTGTGTGTGTGTGTGTGTGTGTGTGTGTGTACGCACCCTGCTGTGCTGTCTGTGGTGGATGTCCTCTTGTTTGTACTGAGCGTGCTCGGTGCTGTTGTTGTGTTCGTGCTCATCCTCATGTGGCGTTCCACATCCACGGGGCTGTGATGTCACATCCTGTAGGCGGTACACCAGGTGCTGCTCGGGGGCGGAGTCTAACGGCTCGATACCGTAACTGTCGTCAGCGAGGTGCAACACTCCTCTGAAAAAAGAGCGATGCAACATCATGAATATGAATGTGACGTTCCATATTTACTGTTCAAGGTCACATGATCTGACCTTCAGGTCTGACACTCAAAGGGAATCAGCTGCTGACCTTTAAGGTTTACTACATGATATAAGATATATCACATGATATATATATATGACATGATAAATGAAATAAATACTTTCCTCTCTTTACAGTCTCTTATCCATACAGTCAGAAGGTTGAGGTCTGATTTTTTTTGCTGCAGAGTGTTGATTAAACAACACATAAAGTCGAGGGTTTAATTAGGCCTGAGTGTGTGTGCTTTATCAAAGTAATTACAGAGATATCACACAACAGGGCCACACACACACACACACACACACACACACACACACAGAACAACAACAACACACAGAGCCATCTGTGAGTAGAATATAAAAAGGACACTTGTCCTTGAGAATAAGGACGCAGAGGGGAGAGTGTACAGTGTGTATAACGTGTGTACCCGGGGGGTTACAGTGTGTAGTAGTTTTTCAGGTAAAGGTTCAGGTTTCTGAGAGTATTTGGTTTCCTTTGTTGTCACTGTTGATATTTCGTATTCTCTGCTCTTAAAGATGACTTTCTCTTTACAGCTTTGTTTTGTTTTTAACCATCTAGTGTCTCTGTCACTGTCCTGCATCCTCTTATGGCATATCAGTGTTGGACACAGGTGTGTGAGTGTGAGTGTGTGTGTGTGTGTGTGTGTGTGTGTGTGTGTGTGTGTGTGTGTGTGTGTGTGTGTGTGTGTGTGTGTGTGTGTGTGTGTGTGTGTGTGGTTACCTGAGGCCGTTGCAGACGCTCATAGCGACAGAGGAACCCTCCATGTCCTGAACGAAGCCCTGATAGTGACAGTGATTCTACAAACACACACAGAGACACATGTTTTAGTACCCTGATGTTCTCTTTCAAAGTGCAGTGTCACAGAGACACCAGCAGGGGGCAGACTTCAGCTTCACACAGGCAGGTTACATCTCTTCTTCTACATTTATATTCATTTATTCAGTAGTAAAACCAAAAGTGACTGTAACTTTCAGAGGCACAGAGAGGAAACTTCACACACAGAGAAATCTCCACAGCATGCTTTTCTTCTTTAAATAAACACACAGCAGCTGCAGAGAAGCTACACCGACACACTGACCGGTTAATTACTACTATTTCATCTGCAAAATATGCTTCACACAAAGACCCAAAAAGAGAACAAAACAGTGTGCACACATCCAAGACAAATGGCAGACAGACGCAGAGCAAAAAAAAGAGCAACAACTGTACTAAGGTCCTGCTTATTACATCGACCCTGACCTCTGTCTCACTGTGTATAGACTTTGATTCTTTGTCTTGGATGTCACTAGTTTGCATTTTATGTTTGGTACTTAAAAAGAAAAAAAAACATTGCAGCCTTTAGGAGACTGAGCCATAAATCAAAGATATTTCAGATTTAATTGCAGCACTAAGTGATCAGTATGTCATGTTTTAATGATGGGAACAGACAGAAGTTTGAAATGTTCCTGTCTCCATGTCTTCATTGTACATTAGGGCTGCACAATTTATCGCCGCATGAGCATGAGCACAGAAGTCTTAATTTATCCCTTAAGATGAGAGCAATTATTTTCTGTGAACGAGCCATCTGTCTCAATCAGCATGTGCACGTTTTACCCATCGGATGGAGGCTGACCAGGCTTTTTAAAGTTTATTTTTGGGACTGAGTTTATCTTTATGCCTTTATTTAGAAACAGGACAGATGATAGAGTCAAAACGACAGGAGAGAGCGAGCGAGAGAGTGAGAGAGAGAGAGAGAGAGAGAGAGAGAGAGTGGGGAAATGACATGCCGTAAAGGAGCCACAGGTCGGACCTGAACCCCGGCTGCCCGCCCAGAGGACTACAGCCTCTGTACGTGGAGGGCATGCACTAACCAGCAGGCCACCGGCCCCTCGTGCTGACCATGCTGAGGCAACATTTTGATGCAGTCAGAAGAAGATGAAGCTAACAGTCAGCTGCTCTTTGATTAATTGATATAATGAAAAGAAAACCTGTTTTTTAAATGAATATGTATTCAGAAGAAACATGTTGCAAACACAGGAGTGAAACATGAAGAACAGCAGACCAAAAACCTGAGTTATAGCTACAAAACATCTTTTAAAATTGTATCATTCACCCCCACCTTCACATATTAAATAATAAACTCATATTTTCTCGGGCACCATATTGTGCAGGTTTAAAGAGCATCATTCAAATCTTTACATATTTAGTGTACTAGTGTCTGACAGTTGGATTTTCTAAAGTGACTTATCTTAATATTAACGGTACTCACTGCTGCATTTAAATGAGGAGACTGAGATCACATCCTGTTGTTCTGAAACTAAGTGGAAACATTTGAAACAACACAACTTTAAACTGATCTCTGATATGAGGTGAATGGGGAGTTTATTTTTTGGGCCTTTATAATAGAGAGACAGGAAACGCTGAGAGAGAGAGAGAGAGAGAGAGAGAGAGAGAGAGAGAGAGAGAGACGATGACACAGTAAAGGGCAGAGGTTTGATTTGTACCCACGGTCCCTGTGACGAGGACTATAGCCTCTGTACATGGGGCGTGCGATCTTACCGATGTGCTATCCATTTTTTTTGTTTTTATTGAGCCTTTATTTAATCAGGTAATTAACCCATTGAGCTAAAGACGCTCTCCGATGGTCTTAAGTGAGAATAATCATGTAATCAAACGTTATAAGGCCCCCCCCCCCCCCCATAAAGAAGAAAAAGATAAATAAAGCTCTGAGTAGGAAGGCGAGCAGGACACCTTCTTAGTGAGAATATTCACAAGTTTCCTGATCATATAAATCCACAACGTCCACTTTGCCCAGCCTGCTTTTATTGAAATCCTCCAAATGTAAAAAGTGCTTCATTTCCCATCCCTAATAAATAATTAGAAAACAAATTTAATGTGATAATCAAAGCTGTACAACCAAATCACTGCATGTCAGTCGGTCATATCGATATTACAGTTTTGTGCCGATGAAACATTTTCTGAAACAGCTTCTGCATTATTAGAAGAGGGACTCTGTGTCGAAACGTCTGAATTCCTTTGTTTGGTTTTCTTTGTGGTGACGTCGTTTCTTGTGGTATTTGGACTATGAGTGTTTTTTTACTCTCTGTCTCAGTCTGTTTCCTTTCTCTCGTCTTTTTCTCTCCTGATCTCTGCTTCCTGTTTGGCTTCATTCGCTGACCGGTCACATGAAGGAGTTCTGTCACTTCCTGGTTAATCAGATCCGCTCAATGATTGGCTCCCTGGAGAAAAAGCAGGACTCATGCTGCATTCATGCGGTGTCGGACACATCGGAAAAAACAGTTTTGTGTTGGAAAATGCACGTGAACGCCCGCTCAAGTTGGAAGAACAACTTGGAAACTTAGAAATAATTAGGTGCTCGATTTGCCGTAGCTGAGGTCCTCATCGTCATCAACGAAGGGAGGCAAATGAGGTTTTGTTCACGCAAAAAAACTTTTGATTAATTCACGTATTGCACATCGACTTTTTGCTGAAATATAACTTGTAACAGAGACATTCACAAGTTTCTTTAAGGCATCCACGATGTTTGTCAGACTTTCTGAACTGAAATCAGGTGAACGCACTGAAGCCAGAAGACTGACCTCCCAACTCGGAAACTGGGACCATACGAGAATACAGCATCGTGTGTGTGTGTGTGTGTGTGTGTGTGTGTGTGTGTGTGTGTGTGTGTGTGTGTGTGTGTGTGTGTGTGTGTGTGTGTGTGTGTGTGTGTGTGTGTGTGTGTGTGTTACCTGTACAGGTGGTCTGGATGTGATCAGTGATCCGTTCTTGCTGTAGGTGAACACAGTGAAGTCTGCAGGAAGCAGCAGGCTGAAAACAAAGACAACAACAACATTTAATGTGTTTGTATCTGTTTTAATATCTCTTTAATATTATAATTAAATAACGGACACATGCTGGTTCGATACGGACCGATTGAAACCTTTTTGTTTTGTTTTAAGTTTAGTTTTGAGCGAAACAGGACAGTGGATATAGTCGGAAATCAGCGAGAGAGAGACAGAGTGGGGAATGATATGCAGGAAAGGAGCCACGGGTCGGATTTGAACCCGGGCCGCCTGCCTGGAGGCTGTAGTCCTCCAGGCGGCCCGGGTTCAAATCTGGTGACCCAGTTGTGTCATTTAAGGAGAAGAAATATGATTTGTTCGGATAAAACAGCAGACGGTTTGACGTCCATGAACACTTGAAAACTAAAGATAATCAGCTGTTTCCTCTTCTCTGACATCATGAACGGAGGGATCTGATTGGCCAATCAGCAGCATCTGATATGATGTCATCAGAACTTACTCGTTTCTCTCCAGACGAACGACGTGATCACTCCCGTCCACACTGATGACGTACGAGACCTGAAGAGAGACAAAGCAGAAGTTCAATCTACACATCTTCATGTTTCACAGCAGTAACATATCTTTAGTTATCTAGGGGCTCTTTTTGGCTTTATTAGACAGGTCGGCTGGAAATAGAGACAGGAAATGCAGAGAGAAGAGAGAGTGGGGGATGACCTGCAGTAAAGGGACGGGGTTGGACTCGAACCCGAGGCCACTGCGGCGAGGACTACAGCCTCCGTACATTCTAATACTAGTACATGCTAATACTTAATGATGTGGTTTTATTTGAAATCGAACTGCTTATTTGTATCTATTTTTCCACTAATGGGTCAAATTTACAATTTTCAATGATTAAAAATGTGTACTTGTTGTTTTTGGAAGGTATCCCGTGACCCCCCTCATGGTGGACCCCACTTTGGAAACTACCCAAAAGCATCAGTTGGTCTCATCATAGAAAAAAATACAGATCGGGCTTTGATTTTGAAAAGCGTAACGGAGCCATGCTGGATGCCACATGTCCAAGTTTGGCTCACGGTAGCGCAGTGGTTATTGTGCGAGCCCCATGTATGAAGGCTGTAGTCCTCCAAGCGGGCGGCCCGGGTTTGAATCCAGCCTGTGGCTCCCTTCCCGCATGTCATTCCCTACTCTCTCTTTCTGATCTTTAACTCTATCCACACTGTCCTATCTCTACGATAAAGGCACAAAAAGCCCAAAAATAAATCTTAAAAAAAAAAAAAAACACACAAAAAAAAACAAAAAAAAAAACACAAGACTTTGGCTCCGAGGTCTCGGTAACTCTCGGTACCTCGGACCATGAGCAGTTGTTCACTGTCTCCAGACTGAGTGAACTACAATCTCATTCTCGTTTATGAGTTGCAAAATGAACTCACTCACACATCCAGGCACAGCACAGCACGGCGCTCTGAAAATAGCTCCGGGTGGAGAGACAGATCTGCTGAGTTTGAACCGCAGTAACAGTGAGGGGGTTCAAATGCATGAATTTAAAAAGTGGGTGTCACTCGTCACAGCGTGTGGGTTTGACACCCGTGGATTTCACAGCCTCTCCGTCATGATTATGAGTGGAATATATTTGTGATCTTTGATTTAAAATCTTCAATACTCGATCATTGATATTGTGAATGACTTCTCTTTGATCGCTCTAAATATTATGTTGCTGTTGTGTTTGTCCGATTGTTGCCACAGACACAAAAGTTAGTAATTAATTAAACTATTTAAAAACTCATGTTGTAACAGTCTAAAGACTCCGACAGTAAATCACTGAAGAGTCCAACAGATTCTGAATAATGAAGTCTTTTGTGAAATTATTCCAGACACACAGATTCCTTTCCCACTCTCTGTCTCCCCCAGTTTCTTTCTCCATCTACTGTCCTGTCTCTAAATAAAATAAAATCTTAAAACAATAAATACAGAGCACGGATCAAAACCATGAACAGGGTAATGACCGTATGACGTCTGAGAGGTGATTGGCTGGTGTCTAACAAGTGCGACATCATGAGTCTGATAAAAGGTAAGACGAGGTTTTGTCCCAAAGGAGTGAAGAGGAGAGAAAAAGTCGAATAAACTTCAAAACTAAACTCCAAGGTCAGCCGAGCCTCTGACTCACCTGGCAGACATTCACCTCTGTGTGAGTGTGTGTGTGTGTGTGTGTGTGTGTGTGTGTGTGTGTGTGTGTGTGTGTGTGTGTGTGTGCAAGAGAGAGAGAGCTGCATCTATCAGCAGGTGAGTGATTACTGCGTAGGTGAACACATGGGCAGGTGGTGTGTGTGTGTGTGTGTGTGTGTGTGTGTGTGTGTGTGTGTGTGTGTGTGTGTGTGTGTGTGTGTGTGTGTGTGTGTGTGTGTGTGTGTGTGTGTGTGTGTGTGTGTGTGTGTGTGTGTGTGTGTGTGTGTGTGTTTGAGGTGAATGAGGACAGGAAGTCAGCAGTTGACTACATCAACCAGCTGCCAACAGCGGCTCTTCCGTCCTCCAACAGAGAGCGAGTGAGACTGAATCCAACTCCCACAGCAACAAACAAACTGGAGAGATGTGAAAAGTTTTTTTGCCGCCCCAAAGCTAGGCGTAAGATTTAAGTGATAACTTAAACGTTGGAACTATCTCAGCTGGTGGAACACCTTGAATGTAAGAAACTGCTCCACCTCGTCATAAGTTAGACTCAAACTAGGATACGCTTGTACACACACAGAGCTGGTGCGAGCCGGTATGTGCTGCAAACATGAACAGTGATGACCGAAACTTAACTCCGAGATAAGCTAAAGCTCTGCGCCGCCTCCTGCTTGTTTAAGAAAAGGACAACATTTGTTTACTTTGTCTATGCATCACTTTGGCTGCAGGAGCCTGCAACACTTTTCACTTTATCTTCACTGTAGTCTTCAGAGTTTTAGTTCTTCTTTTCAGGATCTGTAAAGTCATATCTGCTCTCTCATTGACTCACAACATCTTGTAGCTGGAGTCATGAAACAAACACAGCTGGACTCACAGAGTGAACTGGCTCCACATCCATCATCTGTCTGAGAATGAGCCAAAAGAGCCTCGAAATAACGACGGGTTTATAACGAAAGGTTAAGAGGACACACGCAGAATCTGCAGAGATCCTGGAACCACTTTATCCTAAACTTTATCAAGCATGTGAAGCACCAGTTTTAAACATCTGTACCAGACTGTTGGACTGTTCATGTTTCATTTCTGGATCGACAGAAACTTCAGCGCGCAAAATCGTACAAATCTGGGGCGCTGGTGGTGCAGTGGTGCAGTGGTGCAGTGGTGCAGTGGTTAGTGCGTGCGCCCCATGTATGGAGGCTGTAGTCCTTCAAGCGGGCGGCCCTGGTGGTGAATCCGGCATGTAGCGCATGTAATTCCCAACTCTCTCTCTCCCTGATTTCCAACTTTATCTGTCCTGTCTCTCCAATAAAGGCCCAAAAAGCCCAAAAATAAATCTTTAAAAAAAATCGTACAAATCTGATTTGCTAAATTGTAGATTTTTAAGGTTTTATGTACCGATAAAGACCTGTGTGTGTTTCAGGTTCCCAGTGGGTGTGGCCTGGTCGACGTGGACTGGGAGCCCCCCACTTCCTCATTGTGGGAGACCGGGAGAAAGAGACGGAGGGAGGCTGCTCCCCAAAGCTCCTCATTCCTTTTGTTAAGTTGGTAGATTAATGTGGTTGTGAGTAAATGTAAACCTATTTTTTTAGATTAACTCCTCGCCTCCTCCACTCATTGGTCACTGGCTTTGAGCCGGCCGTGTCATCTAATCTAACGATCTTTGTAATAAATGTTAATAATGAGGTTTTCCTGTCTGTCCTCTCGTTCAGAGAGTCGAGTCCTGCAGGCAGATCAGTGGGAGGTGACGTGTTACAGATACCACTGTGCTGACATCATAACATGACAGGGCTGAGTTAACGTGCCGTATCAACACAGCTGGGGGGAAATCATGTAAATCATACTGTACACGGTTTATAATCAGCAGTGTGAGGTCAGGAGTGAACATCACAAAAAGAACGGAGATTAAACCAGCTCCAAACTTTTGCAGTAATAAGATACATGAACTCAATCATTTTTACACCGTTCTACCAGAAGGAGAAACTCACTTTGATGTCTTTCATGTAAAAATAGTTTAAAAGCAGCTTCTAAATGAATCACTTGGTGTTTTAATGAGCTGATAAATCTCCTAAAAGGATCTGTTGGTGGGTGTTTGTTGTTAACACATAGCTTAAGACTATGTCTTAAAAAGACTTAAAGGTCACATATTATGAAAAACACATTTCAACATGTTTCTCTAACACTAATATGTGTGTCTCTAGTCCGTCTAAAACCCCCCAATGATGAGAAAAGTCCATCCTCTCCGTCTTCTGCCTGCTCCACTTTTCAGAAAATGTGTGCTCAAACAGGCCGTTTGGAGATTTTCCCTTCATGACATCACAAAGGGCAGTAGCCCCTCCCCCAGGTGGGTGACACTCCCACAGCTAGGTGTTTGTTCTGCCCTCTGAGTCTGCCTTCTCACCGTAAACAATAGGACATGGAGCGAGAAAGCCCGAGTACACCCCAGCCCTTCCAGAGAGGGGGTGTGGTCAGACACAGCTCATTTACATTTAAAGGTACAGACACAGAAACAGCCTGTTCTGAGCAGGGCTGAAATAGAGGGGTTTATAGACAGGATCAAATACAGGATCAGAGTGGATTTAGAACAAGAAACTTCACACACATGTTTTGAGGAGCTCTGAGACTTATTTACACTGGATGAAGAGGAAGAGAATATGTCACCTTTAAATAAATGAAAGTGTTAACTTATAGTCAGAAGCTAGCTGGCTGTTTAGTGTGTAGAGACGTGACGATGGAATCGATCTGAACATCCGACTCTCAGAGAGGATTGCTCAACACATTTGTAGTTTGAAAATGTTCTTAAATCTCCGACAATCAAGTGTTTTAAACTGAACGCATAAAATGATTAAATAACGAGGGTAGAGTGACGTGACGCTGATAAGACGTGGAGTGATTGTAAAGACTTCTGATGTTGTTTGTTGCCTGCAGAGATTAAAACACGTCTGACAGAGGGGAGAGAAAAACATGGCTGCAGGCTGACACACACACACACACACACACACACACAACTACACACACACAAACACACACACAAACTCAAAGAAAATGCACACAGCCTAATATCATTCTTTCACACAATGTCACTCCTCCTGAGCATGCTCACATTTCTACGTAGTGTAAGTGTGAATATGAGTGTGTGTGTGTGTGTACTGGACTTGTTCCAGCATGCAGGGTGGAAAAGAAAATGACAGCGATGGAAACACACACACACACACACACACACACACACACACACACACACACACACACACACACACACACACACACACACACACACACACACACACACACACACACACACACACACACACAACAAACACCCACACACACACACTGCTCAGTGTGTGTGTGTGTGTGTGTGTTGTGTGTGTGTGTGTGTGTGTGTGTGTGTGTGTGTGTGTGTGTGTGTGTGTGTGTGTGTGTTTTAACGTGGTCCTGCGACATTAACAGTCTTCGTATGAAACAGTAACATAGAGGAGTTTCAGGTCCACCTTACTCTCTGACTCAAACTGAAAGTGTGATTTCAGTGAACTGCTCGTCATCCGTGACCGAGGTAAAATCTAGAGGTCTAAAACTAGTAAAATCCAGTTTTTTTTTCTTCTTCTGTGGAACCTTCAATCTGCTGCTCAGGTTCTACTGGGGACACTTTCTGCTGTGCACCAACCCATTTCAAATTATTTTTAATTCCATACTCGTTCCATCTAAATTATTTCAGAACATGCTGCAGCTGCTCTTACAGACTAACTGAATGTAAACTGAGACATGTCATAACACTTCTCATTGCACTCCTACAGTGATCCTCATATGGACTACTAAAACAACACAGTGTTTCAGCAAGGCTTTATGCTGTGCTCCTTTCGGAAATTCCAGTTCGCCGGTCTGATATATCATCAGGAACGCCCTCCTGAAGTGTGAATTCCACCACACAAACTCAGAAAACCTTTAGAGGCCCAGGTTAAAATCCAACATGGCTGCTGTGTGCATCAACCAATCAATCATGACTTGTAAAGCGCCACTTCATAACAAGTGTTACCTCAAGACGCTTTACAAAAGAGCATATGGGATAATATGCAGGAAGGATTTCTCCTTTGTGTTCCTCTCGTTCCTGTTGTCCAAACTTCCTCGCGAGGTCGGAGCTGGCCGTGTATGAGTGAGGACGGCGGTGGTTGTGAGGACGACACAGACCGATACTAGTGGCTGAGCGTCAGGGACGCCGGGTGGTCGCCCCCTGTAACTTTTGAGTTTATTAGCAGCTACGTCCTCTTTTTGTGTAATTAAATCAATCCCACCGATGGTATCGTGTAAGCTCGATCTGAGGACGTGTTGTTGTGTATTTTCCCGTGCGAACTATCACGCAGTGTGTTGTTATCGCCTGTTAAAAGCTAACAAAACAAAGGTTCTCTTGGAGGCGTCCATGTTGGTTCTCTCTCCCTCATCATGTTCAGGTTTACTCTTCTTAAAACATCCTGAAACTCCTCAGATGTTATTTCAAGTTTTAAAGAGTGTGTGATGTGTTTTTGTTTTAGTGAGAGAGATAACATACTGCACACTCAGCGAGGACACACACACACACACACACACACACACACACACACACACACACACACACACACACACACACACACACACACACACACACACACACACACACACACACACACACACACACACACACACACACACACACAGGAGGTGGACCTGCTGAGTGTGTGTTTTCCTGAAGGTCAGAGATCACACAAAGAAAACTACACTTAAATGTTACAGCATGGTGGACCCTCGGTACCTGATTGGGAGTCGTCCGTCCACGTCCCGCCTCAGCCTGCCTCCAATTGGTCGAGGGACGGTCAGCTGATAGGAGGAGAGGTGTTCTGTCTGCTGGGAGTCTGCAGGAGGAAAAACAGTCAGGAGTCATTAACACTGAAGGAAACTGAGCGCTGAGTAGGCGGAAAACAAATAAATTGAAGTTTAAAAAAAACAATTCCCTCGGAGTACAGACTGGCTGAAAAATACTAAAATAAATCTCAAAGTGACGTTTTTGAAAAACCTCACTGAGATGAAGAATCTCTTTCACAAGCGCAACAACACAGGCAGTAACACACTTTAACACAGTTACACAACACAGGTCGACACATCGTTGGTTATCGAGCAGAATGTTAGTAGAAACAGCCTCTACAAACCCGAAGCATCATCCTCACACATCGTCAATCTCATTAGAAAATGATTGTAAAGAGGACACATTATACCCATTTTCTACCTTTTAAAACAGTTACCTGTGACACTCAGGTCACCCAAATGTATGTTCAACAACACTGTCAAAGTGGATTTTTCACAATATGTCCTTTAAGAGACCTATCCCCAAATCCTGCTGCAGAAGATTCAAGCTGCAGGAAGAGCAGAACCTGAAACGGCTTTGTTTCCCCATTTCAAGACGCACTTTGGGAACAGAGAACGACTCGAGCGTACCGAGAACGATGATGATAGTTATTACAAAATGGTTCTCAAGAGCATAATCTCAGTAAATGGACTTCAGCTTGTATCGTTCTTTTCTTCTGACTACTCAAAGTTCTTTTACACGGCAGGTCACACCGACACATTCACACAGTGATGGTAGAGGCTGGGGTTAAGAGTCTTACCCAAGGACACATCGGACATGTTGCTGCAGGAGCTGGGGATCAAACCCCCGACCTTCCAGTTGAGAGACGACCGACTCTACCAACTGAGCCACAGCCGCCGAGTAAATGTCTGGACTTCTAACACCTTTATCATGTGTGTGTTTTGTTTTTGAGTCTGTTTTTCCCTCTAGTTGTGTTTAACACGTAACCTTAATATGCTTGTTTATTGCGTTCATGTTTTCAGTCCACATAAAAAAATTGCCTGTGTATAAAAATGGATGTGTCCCTACCTCCTTCTGTGGCACAAAAGTGAAGCTTGAATACACCCGTGATATGCATTTTTAAAGATGCACTTTGTAGTTTTGGTAGAGAAATGTGAAAGTTGGAGACATTTACAGATTCTGTGGTACATGTTCATAACTCTACACACAAACTAACTAACTAGATACTGTTTGAAGATAAAATGCTACAGGAAAAGTTGTGGTGGGGGGCCCGCTACAGTGAATCCGTAACTCACCGGGTTGCTTTTTAGCTCCAAACAGTGTTTCAGGGACCCATATTCTTCTTTGAGCAAAGTTTGTGTATCCACTTCAGAAAATATAGCATCGAATTGTTTCACTTCTCTAACTTTCAAATTTCACCACCAAAACTCCATAGTGCAGCTTTAATGTTACATATTGCAGCGCTCATTTGGAGCCACAGACACTGTAGCTTTGTCGGCGTCCCACTACTTCCTCTAACCACAAAAAAACATGTTTAACTAAAATGTCAAAGATTCCTCAGGCGGGTACAATCCACAGCAGAAACTCACAGCTACCAAAAGTGTAGCAGTCTTTGGTTACGTTTCCTGTCACTCCTCTACTTTGATCAAATTCTGAATAATGTTTCACAAGGCTGGGGGTTTTGCAATACCACAAACATGGTGTCCCTGTATGCTTTTTACATTTTCTTACCTTTGTTATTTTATCTCTCATGCTGTGTTTTTGCAGATATATGTTGTGTTGTTCTGTATTGGTATGTGCCTTATTGTTGGTGTGTGGATGTGGTTTTTCTATTGTTTTTATCTACTGATTCGAGTGGAAGAAGCTGAATGTTTGGCCGCACTTTGGGTCCAAAGACAAATTTCCCCAAGGGGACAATAAAGTGCATCGTATCGTTATCCGATGCATACAGAGCCACAGGAGCCTCTATCGTCAACAGAGCTGGCAATCATGTTGTTCATCAAACCAGCCTTCTGACATGTCCTCCATCTTTTTACACAGTCCTATAAATATAAATAGGTTTTTACAACTTGGCTGATTATTGTATGAAATAAAGATATTAAACACCGGAGTGTTTGGTGAAACAAAAACAAAAAAATCATAAAAATGTAAAAATTACTATTAAATAAATAAACTTCAGCCTGTTAACGTGGATAAATCTGAGAAAGAAACATCGTGAGTAAGGCCAAAGTCTTAAGGGTCACACACCTCTGCACCAGTCACAGGCTCACAAAGAGGTAACCATGACAACAACTCTTCAGGGCAGGCCATGCTCAAGGACAAACACTCTCACTGTCGGCTGACCAGCAGTCTGAGGTTTTGGTTCTAGCTCCTGACAGAAATCTGCAGGAAGCTGAATCATTTATGAGTCAGAGATGGAGGCATTTATCAGACCTCCGTTATCAACAGGAGAGCACACACACACAATGAATCACTAAAAACACACACACAATGAATCACTAAAAACACACACACAATGAATCACTAAAAACACACACTACAACGCTAAAACACACGTGTCGGTGTGTGGAGTATTCTGTGTTGTGAGAGTTCATTAGACACTGAAGATCTCCTGCTGTGAGCTCCGTATGTACAAAAGGAAGTCTGGAAATGTTCAGGACCAGAATGTCTGGAAACTGTCCGGAGTTCATGTGTGAGAAAAGACCAAACACCTGAAACACAACCTGTGAATCAGCTCGATGAACACACGAAGAACAGGTTTATAACCGATTGAAAAGCTGCACGTTCTTTTTTATCATCAGAACACTGTGGTCCTCACAAGGATGGTAGAACAGGACACCGTACATACACACACACACACATTCTTACATCATGAGTAAAGTGTGAGCGTAGGTTCACCTCCATCAGTAAACAACACAACAGACTACCCCTGTATGTGTGTGTGTCTGTGTGTGTGTAATTGTGTGTTATGGGGCGGACTCCTCTCTGTATGTTGTAATCTGTAACCATGGTAACGGCTGCAGTGTGTGGGTAACGACCCCTGCGTCCTGTTGTCCTGCCCAGAGCAGCATCTCCCTTTGTCTTCATTTCATAGGTGAGACTCAGGATGCAGTTAGCCTAGCTTAGCATGAAGTTTGTAAATCAGGCTAAAAACTCCAAAACATAAAAAAAGTCACCTTCTGATTAACACGTTTAACCCTTTACTTTAATCCAAATACAAACGTAATTTCTTTACACAGTGTGATTTCAAAACAGCGCAGTGATAAAGTTCCCCCTTCACTACACCTTTGTACTTATACCTTTCATTCATCACGCCGTCATAACGTTGTCCCACAGCTTGATTTTATATTGCTTTACGGTGAGGCGGAGGCTTTAGGAATCACACTGGGCCCAGTTGCCCCGAACCGTGATAAAGTACGATTGTTCCTCCTCTCCAGTCCCCCGCTGGCCTGAACTCACATTGCTCCAAGCTAAACCGGACATGAGCACGGTTACCTCTTGTACAAACTGTACGTCATCATCATCACGTCGCGTTATGACACCAGAGGGTTTAACGTCATCATGAAGCGCTGTCTCAGAGTCAGCACAGTAGAGATGAATGACTGCCAGTCTACTGACTTAGAAGCCTATTTTGAGTGATTTGGGTCAGATAGCAACATCCTGGATTATTCTTTTATGCAAGGCGGCGATTGATTATACGTCATGACCACGTTGGGTACTCGTGTGTGAGCACGTGCACTTGTTATTCATTTTTGAACAGGTTGTTTCACAGAAGTTTGCAACAGGATATTGGCAACGTTCATCAGCAAGCACCACCAGGTGTATTGGATGCAAAAAATGGAGCAGATTTTCTCCGACCCAGAATGCTAACATTGATTTTACAAATGTGCTGAAAGTAACTGGTAGGAAAAGAGAGGAAGGTCTGCACGCTGCTCAGCTTACTGGACTGGTTTTCTTTTTTGTGCTAGCAACTGGCACAACGCCGGACGTCTGTCTATTTACTACAGCTACCTGCCCGCCCGCCTGCCGAGACGCAGCAGGTTCAGAGTTTGTTTTGGTTTCAGTTTGAGCTTAACGGACAGTGAAACCAGAGAGAAACGGGTCCTGAGTCTGTGTCCAGCTGCAGATCGGTTTGAGTGCCTGCTGCTAACAGTGGGAGTCACAGAGTGGATCAGAGGACGAGGCTGTCGGGGGTGAAGGCCGGGTTAGCCGAACACACACACACACACACACACACACACACACACACACACACACACACACACACACACACACACACACACACACACACACACACACACACACACACACACACACACACACACACACACACACACACACACACACACACACACACACACACACACACACACACACACACACACACACACACACACACACACACACACACACACACACACACACACACACGACACACTGTGGCACAGATTTAGTCTGCTCTCTCATTAGTTCTGCCTCTCTCTCTCATTAACTGTCTCGGTGTTTTCATCACCCAAAAATCAAACTAAAAAACTCCAGGACATTTTCCCTGCTGGCTGAAACTGAACCAGAGGTCGTACAAGTCCAAATAAAGGACAAAGAATAAAAAATAACATAAAGATAAATGTGAATTAATCAAGTGTTAACTATCTAATAAACAATGTGCCTCTACACAGCTGAACCGTGAATATATTGGGGCATTTAAATGACGATTGTTTTCACTATAATCATAGTGAGCCAAAACACCAAACTCATTCCAAAACGAGTGCGATGCTGCGGGTATATGCTGGGCTGGGTGACTGTTCCTTTAACTCTCTGTCAGAGGCGGGGGACGCGCGCTTCTGGTGGCGATGAGCCCAGGAGGCGGGGCCAAATTTGAATGTTGTGTTCATGAGCTGCAACAAACATCGCTCCTCAGTCCATCTTTAAAGATCAGATAACATTCAAATGTAACGGCTGTGCTGAAATAATCTGAGAGGAGGGCAGCATTCTGTGTCGAAAGGTGCTGGTTGTGACATTCATCACATGTAGCTGCTGGTAACCATGGTA